TTATGATAAAACATTCAAACATCACTATAACTTTGATGATGTCCCTATAGTATTACACTTGTGACAAAGTGGATATTCGCACATTACTATAATTTCGATATAATCTCATTATGAATATTATGACCTTGATGGAAACTGATTATATTACAGAAGTATTAATTTTACTAACAAAATGGTCCTTAACTTGAATACTCCCACCTTCATCCAAATTCAAATGGATTCACTAGAGTAGTTACCATTAAAATTAAAACCAATAATTAAATTATGTCTTCAAATAATTCGGAAAAAGATTTTGTAGCAAATTTATTGTCAAAAATGGGCGGAATATTTAAAAATTAAATATATTCTTTCACAACTCATTACGAGGGCTGTATGATAAATACCTGCGTTAAGGAAGGAAACGCATTTTTCTTAATTTTTTTTATTTATTTCTCAACATCTCTTTCAATCTCTTAGTCGATATATTTAGTCCAGCGATATTCCAACTTTTTTAAGCCGTCCAAAAAATATAATTTGTTGAACTCCGCAAAATAGACCTCTGTTTCGGCGATGACTTCCTCGTTTGACGTGAACCGCCAAGCCATTTTTCAAGTTTGGAAATAAAAAGAAATTTCATGGGACCAAATCTGGAGAATAGGGTGGATGAGGCAGCAATTCGTAGCGTAACTCGACCAGTTTTGCTATGTGTGCTTTGCGATTGCGGACGAGTGAGCTGGTGCGTGGTGAAAGAGTACTTTTTTCTTCGCCAAATGGAGCCACTTTTTTCATCAATTTAGCGTCGAATTGACCCAATAAATCAGTATAGTATTGTCCCGTGATTGTCTTTCCCTTCTCCAAATAGTCGATGAAAATGATGCCTCGCGAATCCTAAAAAACGGTGGAAACATGACCTTTCCGGCTGATGGAACCATTTTACCTTCTTTGCCTTCTTTGGAGCAGGTTCGCCGGGTAAAGTCCACTGTTTTGACTGTTCTTTCATTTCTAGTGTATAGTGATAGATCCATGTTTCGTCAACGGTCACGCCGCAGAAACTCTTTCAGATTGCGTTTAAACATGTCCAAACAGTGCTCCGAAGTTGTCATGCGATTCCATTTTTGCTCCACTGTGAGCAAACATAGAGCGACACCTATCTCGCCGATAGCTTTCTCATGCCCAATTTTTCGTGTAAAATATTCTGTACGTATTCAATTGAGATGTTTATAAGATCAGCAATCTCTTTGATCTGCACCCGGCGGTCTACTAATATTATGGATTTTGTTGACCATATCCTCCGTAGTCACCTCAATCGGATGCTCTGGGCGCTCTTCATCAGAAACGGATGTTCCGCAATGCTTGATTAAACCAATATCTGATGGTAGTCATCAAAGGTGCTCATTATAAACGGCATGCAACTTCACTTTGATTTCCTCACACGTCTTCCTATTCAAAAAAAGGAGTCGAATCACTGACCGATATTGCTCTTTTTTCATGATTGCAAACAAACACGAACTTGCCCGCTTTCAACAGCTATCAAAACAAAACTATTTGATAAATCTGTCTGAAATTTTGACAGACGTCGTTCGAAAGATGGCGTTACGCGATGATATACAGATTTTGCATCAGTGGTACTATCTGTCGTTAAACACAGGTACTTATCATACAACCCTCATATATCATGCTTTTTTTTATGACATTCGCAACATAAAACTTATTATAAAATATTTTTGTAATAACCGATAGACAATTGAAACTAACACTAAAAAGATTTTTTCTTCAGGTTGCTTGCAGCCTAGGACGGAAAATATGAACATTAAATAGAAATAGATCGTTAAAAGACACCTTTCCGATTCTTTGTTTAATAGTTATTATGAACTTTTTCAATATTTATCCATGATTCTTATTTACGAAAGAAATCTCATATACATACAAAGATATATTTTGTAAATATTTTGAAAATTATTAAAACAGATTTGACAACTCAGCTTATAAACACAGAACTATAGAAAAATGCGCGAATGTTATTATTGCATTTGTTACGTGATGTAACAGCACTCATTAGTACATGACAAGCCATTAGACAAGTCTGCTCATCGGTAGTTTGACAATCGAAATATTATACCATTACTTTCTCGTTCCGCACGAATACACTTTGTATATCTCAAAGTGTGGCTTACCGATTAGTTTGTTTTGCGAGCTGTAGAAACGCTTCTTTTCCGCATGTTATCGAGAGTTGTTCGTAATGGGGAAAAAATAAGTAAGTAAATAACGAGATCTCAGACATGTCTAACGGAGCTCGTTATCAGTTTCCTTTCGTCTTAGAGATATCACGGAAGAATCTTACGAAAGATCTTAAACAGCGTATAACATTCACCTATACGCGCAGGTCTTCTCAAATCGTAAATATAATTCTGCATTCTTCATATGTGACATATTTGTCATCTATTCGCTCGTTTATATATCCGATATCAGATCCGATTAAAATTGGAAACGGCATAGAATGATACAAAACTACGATGACGCACTGTGCACAGAAAACTACGAAGTCATTTTCACAATTTTTACCAATAATAAAATCACGATGTTCCCACGAGTGCAGCCAGTTTTTCTCGAACATTTACGAAATGTCTGCATTTATTGTCCGGCGATAAAATGATAATATGACAGGGCTGCAATTGTACATAAGAGCATCTCTTATCAGTAAAAATGTTATCTGCATTTTTTATTGGCGCTTCCTTCATTTTATTAGCCGATCGCCAGTTACTACAATATCAGATTGCGTTTGATCATCGGATAATGTCGTTTCGTTGTCCGCGTAAATTGTCGTGATTATTTTTTTTCAATGAAGAATTCTCTGTGATTCTGATTACGTGTATAAAACATATACGTTTTCTTTTCTTCGCTCACGACAGTTGGTCGGAAGCTTCATATTATTAAGACACGCGAGTTCTCGCATTATCATTGTAAATACGTTATAACTCAAGGTTAATGAATCCCGAGAATAGAGCACGGAGATAATTTTCCTGGAAAATATTAATATTCATGTACTGAAAAAATATTCACATTATTCAACATATTTGAAAGTGGAGATTATTTTATTTTTACCTTGTATATTTTAAGAACAAATTTCTTTTAAGATGGATTTAAGATCGATAAAGATGAATTTGCCTTTTAATTTAATAAATTTTATAAATTTAATAAATATACAAATAAACTATTTTATCTATGTTGTAAATTTTTATATCGCAAAATTAAGAGGATATCCAAATAAGCTACTGATTAGTTGTTTTGATATATTATATAATATATTATATATCTAGCGATAGATATGAGTATGAATAGTATTGAACTTTGAGCACTGAATCTTGAACCTGTCACTAGGCACAACAGTCATTAGATGTGATCTTTTTCATCATTAATATCTTAATAATTTGCGACTTTTGCAAAATGATACTTGACTTTTCTTCTCAGTTTGATCTAATTAATCTTTACAATTTTTTGTTTCTAAAAGATCCCGGACACCCTGTACGATTCGATAAGAATTTTCTCTGCGTGCTTTCTCACGAATATATACGCGAGACCTCGTAGTGTATTTTCCGCATTGCATTCGCTCCACGACGCCGACAAATTTTGCGCCCTTGACGAGGCCCACCGATAGATTAATGGACGAAGGTGAGAAGTTGTAATTCGAGCTTGATTGGCGCACAAAAAGGAGTCAATTAACGATAATTTTGGCCAAAGCGTTAACGCTTAAGCGAGAATACCCGGACTGTAAATAGGCTTCTCACGATGGGGGAAAATAGGAGGCGGTTAAAAGTTATGTCATTGTGGTTTTTTTCCTGATGTGATTACGTTACAAGTGTTTCTTTTTCTAAAACGTCAGTACGACAAGTAGTGAGATGATAAATCGTTCCTAACTGTTGCTGAACGATCTCGTGTCTGCTATTAACATTATTTTACACGTAGTACATTGTTAGATTTACGACACATCGGCAAAATCTCAATCAATCTCTCATTTGCGGGGAGAGATCGGGCCTTCGAAGCACTTTTGGCGCATTGAGAAAAGAAAAAGATTTGGCGTTTATGATTATAACTATACATATGATGAAGTAGCTGAGAAATTTTTGTAGCAAATGATACTGTAACATCATTCTTCTATTAAAACAACTAGGAAGCTATGGTTGCTGCTAAAAATGGCTACAATTTTCACAAAATCGGCCATTTTTCCTCACAAAAAAGAATTCTCTCTTGAGCGCTATGCAATCTTAAGATCTTGAGACCTATTTCATTATTATTTTTATCGTTAAGACAACTAGAAAAATATTTAGTCGTCGCCGAAAATGGTTATTTTCACGAGATCGATTACCCTTTTCCCTAAAATTGATTTCAAGATTTGACCGATCTATTGACTCTAAAATCTCGAAGTCATTTTTCGAGAATACATATATGAACGTCATCTTTCAAAATGCGCTTTAACAAGGCCGTTGACCCGTACATCACGAATACGCGATGACAAATGACGAGCGGAAGTTACTCGTCCTCGAGGATCATGCCTCGCCACCACTACCGTCGCCGTCGTCGCCGTCGTCGTTATCGTCAACGTCGTCGTCGTTGTCGTCGTTGTCTTCGAATTGGCATTATTGAGGGAAAAGTACGTAGACTTTTAACACGACTCGATCATTCTAATTCGCAATAGAGTAGGCACACGATGTGCACGATGGAATGAGGAGATTATACACGGGGACACGTGGGTGGGGGGTCGGATCGTGGGGGAGGAGACATAGGAGAGTACTATCCTTCGTGCCCGTGGTCCGGCGCGACGATGCTGTTCGCGATAATGCGACAGTGTCAGTCCCGCGTTTAGCGCTTTAGCGCTTGGCGACTGATAAAAGATAGCAGTTACATCGAAGACAAGTCAGTCGGTGCACAGCTCTTGCTCAAGCGATCGCTCGCGATCACGCACGGAGAGAGAGAGAGAGAGAGAGAGAGAGAGAGAGAGAGAGAGAGAGAGAGAGAGACAGAGAGAGAGGGAGAGAGAGAGAGGGGGAAGGGAGGGAGAGCGAGAGAGAGGGAGAGACACAGCAAACAAACGTGGGTTCGTCGGCCCGAGCGTGGTTGATTCACGAAGAGATCTGAAGGTGTAGGCACACACAAACATCTTCGTTAAAGTAGCTCAAGGAACGAGCTTTGCAATATTCGCTTTGCACCACACATCTTGAAACCTTGACACAATCCCGACGAATTCGCGTCGTTGAGGATGCCGAAGTGCGAAGCGGCGAACAAATGAGCAGAAAGTCACGGTGAAGTGACTTTGATTGGTCATCGGGCCGGGCGTATCTTCGCGTTGCTAGAAGTGTCAAGGAGTAAAAAGTTGAATCTGCAAGGCTCAGGGTTGTGATCAGAAAATGTCGCGTACGAAAGCTTAACCGCAACTCGTTCTTTCCGAAGCCGAAGACACCGCGCTGAAGCGTGTCTCGTTGTATCACCCCAGCTGCCATCGTGCACGTGGTGGATAGAGGGAGAGAGAGAGAGAGAGAGAGAGAGAGAGAGAGAGAGAGAGAGAGAGAGAGAGAGAGAAAGGGTGTGTTTGGGGAGACGCTATTAGCGCTATCAATGTAAACACTATCGAATGTGTTTGTGGAGGCAATAAGGTGATAACGAACCCCACGAAGAACAATAGCATAGAGCGTTAACATTATTGCGTTACATTGTTATATTATTTAACAATCAAGTCCAGAACTTACCGATTTGTGCTCTGAAAGCTAGTTGATGCGAGTTGCGATTTAAATTCTTCTTCAGTTTCAGCATCTCGAAGCTCCGCTTCCATGGAACTGTCCGTTATAGTAAAATAATGAACATGATGTAAGTACCATTAAAATGCAGTGACATACAGTGATGTGCAATTCGCAGCATTTCAGGCATTCACGGAGTTTACAGACGTTAACGCTACCAATGCACTATCTCGGAAAGAATAGCGTTGATAGAGCATGTTTATTGTGTTCGACGCTACCATTGGTGACATCATGAAAGAATTTGTCAGCGCTATCATTTAGCTCCGCGGACAGCTTGTAGTGCTAAATAGCGTTAATAATATCTCCCTAAACACATATAGATAAATAGATAAATAGATAGAGAGAGAGAGAGAGAGAGAGAGAGAGAGAATTTGAAGAGAAGAACTTGGAAAAAAGGATCGCGTAATTCCAGCGATGCAGCAGGAGCACGATGACGAGCGGTGCAACTAAACTCGACCCGAACTGGATGAGAATGGTCGAGTTGCGTGCCAGCGCGATGACAAGCGCCGGGATGAGTAGCCTGGCCACGGCCAAATCTTCGAATCGCCTGCACTACGCAATCCTTACGATCCTCGACACAGTGTTCTCAGCGCTGGTGGCCGCGCCGGCGGTGGTCGGTTATTGGCGCGGCACTTGGGGTCTCAGCGATCTGTATGTCTATCCGGACGAACCGATCTTCAGCAGCTTCGCGTCGATCGCGATCGGCTTCGCCGGCCTGTTTGCCTTCAGCGTACTGCAACATGGCCTGGACGACGCGTTGCATCCGGACAAGCACCGGCTGTCCTATTACCTCGGCTCCCGCCTCTACACCGGCGTGTTCGGCTTCTGCTGTGTGAACGCATGGCGCGGTGCCTGGAAGGGCCTAGACATTTACACGGATCATACCGCTAGCACCGTCTTCGCCACGACTGCCGTTAGCTTGTTGGCTCTCGGCATCATGCGCGCGATCCGCAATATTTCCGCGCCGCCGTTCGCACTCTGTCTTGACTCATGCCCGGGTTACTTCGAAGTGCAGACTATGTTCCGCGTGAACGTAAGTATGACGTGCGATTGTCCAAGAGTGAAGCTTCTGTAGGAGCTGCGGCTTGTTGTTTGCGTGCCGACAGAATCGCAGCGCAAATAAATAAGGCTGAAGCCTTATCTACAACATGCTATTTGCCTTCTGTTTATTTCTTTTCATCTCTTTTTGACTTAAACCTTATGATTCAAGCTAAACAAAGATAAAGAAGAAACAGGAAACAGAGAAAGCATATTGTAAATCAGGCTTTAGTTTGCGTTGTCCTAGACGCCGGTACACAGGACTTCGTTGGTCCTCTGTCAAAACGTTCTTCGATGCTCTTGCATGGGTATATTCTTAATATCCATATTGTCAACATACCTGAACTATCTTGACCTAAAGAGAATTTGTCGGAACGACGGGAGGATTTACATATTCCTGTCTGCTATCGTCTAGGTGGTTAGTGTGCATCTAGCTTGATTCGTAAACTGCCTGGATCGCTGGCCATAGACGGTTATCTGATTGTTTGAGACGATACTTTCTTCGTCTGCCGTTTTTTTTTTAGTTTTATTTCTATTGTCAACCATGAAAGAAGGAGGGCGTACTAGGTGGCGACGGGACGTCGTGCGTTCGGGACCTGCATCTTATTTTCGTTCCGAAGAGAGAAAAATATCGAGAGCGCGGTAGTCGCTAGACCGGGAAAGGAAGACATTTCCCGCTCGAAGAATTTCTTGCTATGGCAAATATCTCGTAACTTATAAACTGTCGATGTTTATTTGAGACGGTATTGTTTTCGTCTTCATCTTCTTATGAAGATGGGTGATGAATCCTTTCTTGAAATGTGAAGAAGTAGAAATGTTCAAATGCTTTTGAATTAGAAAATGTTCGTCTTTGTTTTAAAGCAATAGATTTACAATCGATTTGTTTTTCCATTATCGACGCTTCTCTTTTTTTACCGCCCATCTTCGTCGTCAGCCATAGGAGAATAATTTCCCGTCCAAAGCATCTTACACATTAAAAATTATGACAGTCTATTAATGTTTACACAATTGAGGACTTTCGATTATCTAATACGCGGGACAATACTTTCTTCTTTATATTTCTTCTCTTTAGGGAAGAAGTATCTCTCTTCGTCTTTTTAGAGAGACGCTTTCTGTGCGAAGTGCATCTGAAATCACGTCGATCTGTCGCTGTAAATGTAACGAGCAATAAGTTAGCAATAGAATATAATTCAAGTAATATAAGATTGATAAAGATAATGTAACAAATTATAAAGATAATATAAAAATGAGAGTATATACGGTGTTTTTTGATAAGTAAAACGAGTGTCGAAAATAAACACGAATGTAAATTTGGCACGTGCCGTGATTATTACCGGTGACTGATGCTATAATATTAACGCTGGTAAATTTGCATGCAAGATATATCTAATTATATCGAATAAATTCGATTCATGTGATATGAAGCCGATAAGACATCAATAAAAGATCGCTTCGGTCTTCTTCCGAGATTCAAGCGAAATCAATGGATATCAACGTGATGACAGTCGACACGTTGACATTCGTTATTGTCTATTAAAACGTGCGGAGTCATCCGGTAGCTCTTAAATCATTTTCAATCTCATCTTCGCAAGCTCTTACCCTCGTCAAGACTTTACACGTGACATCTGCCTCACAGTCATTTTTACTCGTTCGTAAGACCCTTATCTTTGCGAGGCCTTGCTTCGTGAAACCTGCTTGTTTTCCAGTTACTCGACGATTTTCCTGTTGCATCAATAAACTCGAAATAAGTTCGAGATCAAGTACTTTGATGCAATAAGTTACTTTCATGTAGAATACAATAGAACCAGAGCAACATAATCATAATTTTATAGAATATTAGAGTTTAATATAATGGAACAGACAATTTATAAGGTAATAAGTAATGATGTGAAAAAACCAACTTACATGCACTTCTATTATATGATACTTCGAATCGGTATTAAGTTTAAGATGCTTGGAAGATATCTTAGGTTTTTTTAGACGTCTTCACGACATTTTCTAAACATTCGTGTCACCTAGATAGTTCCAAGCGAACAGGTTGACTGACTTGCCGCGCTCAAAAATCGAACGCTACGAAAAATCCAATCGAGAGTACATGATAATATTTATAAACAAATAGGGAGAATAAATAGTTTTCCTTCACTCGCTTCGTGATATGTTGCTTAGCGTTTTCGAGCAGCCCGAGCTGTTTGAACACACCTTCAGGCTCGACAATTCTGCATACGCATGATCGAAAATACGATCATAATATTTCTGGATACGAACTGTTCTCGGCCCTCTGAAGATTTAGAGCACTATTATCACTACGAACTATATCCACGTGCACGAAAACAACCGTGATAACGCATCTCTTGACGTAATATCGTCTCGAGTAATCACTGCCGATGCTGTAAAGCGCATCATAAATCATAAATCGCGACGGATCGCATGAGTCGCATTTACATACACGTCGTACAAGCTCACATTATACACGTTATCGGTGTATAAGCACAGTTTCCGGCTAAGTCCCCCGATCGTCAAACACTATCGTGCTTGTTCGAACGTACGCTAGCGCAGCACACATATGTACTAATTTGCATGTACTTGTCGGTTTACTTGACACTTTCTCTCTCTTTTTCTCTTTCTTTCTCACTTTCCTTCTTTCCTCCTCTCTTTTTTCCTCTCCACCATACGAAAACGGTCGTCTTGTAAATAGCTGAATTTATTTCCCGCGATTAAGCTTCCTTCGGTCAAAGTAATATTCAATTATGACACACATGTAAATATTAATCATAAAAATTATTTCTTTTCGACACGAACATCATAAAAAATAGTAGTATAATTAATAAGTAGTAGTGGTATAGTAATATCATTTTCGTATCGATACGATAGAAGACACTCGTATAATTGAATTCGTTTATTACTGATTTAAAAGGAATTTTATTGATATGATATGTGTTGTTTATTTTACTCTCTCTTATTTTTCATAACACTGTGTGTCATTCACGACACGTTTTGTGTCACGGCCAAATGATAGACATTTCCCACATTAAGTAATATTGTTCGACTGTGTCGAGAAATACGAATCTGAAGAATGTTCTGAACGAATTAATTTGTAAATTGTGATAAAAATTGATTTCGTTCCTTCGACGATCGCAATACATGCATATTAACTTATTTGCAATTGTTATTTTTTGAGATGATAATTTTATAAAATCAACGAAACGTCGTCACAAACGATAAAATATTCAATGATATTTTCGATTCCTCTCTATCTTCTCTATCTCTTTTTTCTTTTTTTTCTTGCTAATCTCTTATATCATAAGTGCTCCAGATATAACTGTAATAAACTATACACTATATCATACGATTCTTCCAATTGCATGAACGAAACGTCGTCATAAACGATAAAATATTTAATGGTGCTTTCAAATCCTCTCTATTTTTTTATTTCTCTTATTTTCCTAATCTCCTTTATCATAAGTGCTCCAGATATAACTGTAATAAACCACTATACCATACCATACGATTCTTCCAATTGCCTAATTACCTTAGTTGACATATGATGTTTATTGCTGATAGATTTACATTTGTTGTACATAATAATAGCGGCTTACTTTTACTGATAATGTGCGAATCAATCACTTATAAAGGACAGATGAGATATTTTCGTATCCGTATACCTCTGGTATTGTAAAATATATCGCCATTTTTTATTCTTCCCTACCTACGCTCGACAGGCAAACATATAAAGCGTGCAAATATCTCCTCCTTATGCATCTGTATCAGTACATTAATTATTTATCAGCTAGATGTCGATGCGGAATCGTGATGCTTTGACATTAATATTTAACTCTTAGCGCTCTGCGCGTTTTTGTACCACTGCCTACCAGCAACTCCGGCACATTTTTGCAGCGGAGCGTCTGAGAAGAAGAAGTCTTATTTTGTGTGGAAGGAATTACACGTGCTTGTGAATGTTTTTGATTTTATTTATTTTATAAATATGCATATTCCTCTTGCAAATGAAACATAAATTTTAAATTTTATAATTCACCATCGTATGATATCTTTGGAAACAATCCCCCATTCTGGGTTTACCTGAGCAAGTGTCACAGTACTCACTAGTTTGACGTCTGCCATCCTTTCTTGAAAATAATATTTGAAAATAATAATAAAATAATAATAATAATAATAATATTTGAAAATCAAATACGTCTTCACTATCATTCAGCTCTAAATTTTCATCATAACATTCATTCGTCTCCATGTTTTTAATCATAAAAAAGTTCGTAAAATAATTTAACCTCAATATTACAGACTTAGCACGTTTTAACTACAAATAACAACAACAACGCCGACGATGACATAGCATCTTAAGCGTAATCATGTTAAAAACATTTGGCTCCGCAGCGGAGCCACCGGAGTTACTGAACAAATGAGCGATGTCTCCGTACCGGAGCCAACGGAGCGCTAAGGGTTAACAATCGTGCATTATCGCTGAAATATATAATATTCCTCGATATTAAGTAGTAAACGCCGCTCTTGTAACGTCAACATGATTATATTATGATTGCAGAATACGAGGGACTGGTCATTGTACTTATTGGATTGTGCCTTTAGCGTAGGCGTCGTGGGCACATTGGTTGTTTTCGTCTGGAGAGGCGTCTGGATTTTATTTGACATTTACTTGTTTCCAGAAAATGAGGAGTACTCCGCCGTTGGCTCACTCGTAAGTGATTTTTATCAGATCGCGAGCTGAATGAAGCTCGATTCTTCGGCCGACTTTTCGCCGATCGCGTCAAAACGCTATTCAACTTCGTTCACTCATGTGTGTTAATGTAAATTGATCTCATTCACAATGAAAGTCGTATTCTCAAAGATTTGTCGTTGATGTAGATGAATGCATTTTTCGTTAATAAGCGGAAAATTCTGGCCGCGTATCTATCTGCTATCAACGACGCGTGGAAGGATTCGTCATTTAGTACCGAGTAGTCAAATACGAAACAATTCGTTAAGGCGTTAAGGCTTGTGTAAATAAAAGCTCGTGGAACAAAATTTGTGGAAATTTCGATAAAAGACAAAGATGATTTACGACGATATTTGCGTCGAGCTTTATAATTATTGAAATAATTTATTGCTTTTGCCTTTATATATATATATATATATATAATCTGTTTTGTTCTCTTTTCTTTAATCATGACACTGTCTATGATACTGTATAGATTCATTCAATGAAATAACTAGCTGAAATATAACCTAAATTTTATGTTATATTATAAAGCAATGTTCGTGTTACTTTGTGGGACAGTGGCTTGCTATGCGCGGTGTAAGAAAGTTTGCGTTTCGATTGTGATGTATGTGAAACGAAATAAACATCACAATTGATCATCAACTCTGTGTGTCATTGCGAAATCGCAAATTTTGCAGCATACGACGTAGCACGCGTTGTGCCGTGGTACTGTACCAGTATAGTTCGATTATATAATTGAATATTCGCCAATTGCATGATTGCCGTGGCACATGGCACAATTGTCGGTGTATGCGTATGAAATGCTTTACGTTATCCCTAATTCGTCATTTGTCGCATCATCGCCGTCGGCGCGTTACGAATTACTACTTTTCAGTAACAACTTGATGTAGCGACATTATTTTCTTTTTCTCTCTGTTACTAACTATAATGTTATAATGGAATATAATATGTATACAGAATAGGGACAGAAGCTAATCTTAAAAGATCTGTAAAATTTGGTGAAAAAAATTGTTGGAAATTGCAACGTCTTCTCATTTTTTGAATAACCCCATCACTAGAGTTGGACAAATTACTGTTCAAAGGCGATTATATAGAGGGTAGAGATGTGCGAACTATTCGAATTCGAATCGAATCGAATCGAATCGAATCTAATGTAATTCAATTAAATTCGAATCCGAATCCCTATAATTCGAATACAAATCAAATACATTAGCATTTGCGCGCATCAGCAAAACGGGCCATCTGGACTTGTATGTTTGAACTCTTAATTTGTAATTAACTTAACTTATAATTAATAACTTAATTATAAATTACTTTAAATATTTAAATATATATTTCACTTTAAGATGATATTACAATATCAATATTACAATATTTCCTTTCATATTAAAATCTTCCATTATTATTTGCATGTTTAATAGTCATGTTAAATTTTTTAATTATTCAATTCGATTTTATTCGATTTTATTCGAATTCGAATGAAATTTCATAGATTCGATTCGATTCGAATTTGAATTTAAAAAATGAGATTCGATTCGATTCGATTCGATTCGACATAAAAATTCTTGATTCGCACATCTCTAATAGAAGGTTGAAGAATTCAAATTTAGATTTTTTCATATGACTGTCTTAAAAAGGCAAAGCGAGAAGACACAAGCGCACATATCATGTTTGATTTTTCTCTCGCTGGTAATAACAAATAACATGACGAAATTTCAGGCCATCGGATACTCGATAGTCGCCGTGACGTTTTGCCTGCAGCCGCTGATGCGATATGTTTGCGCACGTCTTCAGGGTTTGGTTCGCTTGGTGGTCGCGGACATTTTTCTCCTGCTGAGCTTCCTGGGCACTGTGAACGTCTGGCGCGGTATATGGGTCGCGCTGGATCTGTGGTTATTGCCGGACAATCCAGAATTGTCTTGCTGGATCACTCACATCGGTTGTTTCGTTTTTCTCGTTCTCCTCAATTGTAGTAACTCTATCTTAGTGCGTGGCGTTTACATCGACGCCGAAGAAGAAGAAGGCAAATGTGTTGTATTTCCATGTCACTATCTTCGATTGTTTTTTAAGGTTCGTACTGCCTCTGACTGAGAAATACTCTTCACATTTCTTAGAGTGAAATTCCGCTCAGAACGCAAGTGAAAGTAAAATTAGTGAATGCCAGTCATAAAAGCGAATGTTCAACCAAACAAAAAATACTAAATTTTTCATTAAGTTTCAAGCAAATTTCTGAAAATTGAATTCCTTTTTCCTTCATTTAATTTCTGCGAGATTAATCCAGTTCTTAATCCAGTGAATATCTCAATTGTTTAAAGTGAATTTCTATCCTTACGGCGGTAGAATATGTCATAGGTTGACTTTTCAATTTCGAATGAAAACATTCACTTGACAATTCAAAATGAGAGAACTCACTTTACATTGCATGAAAATCTCAAATTTGAATGACTGGGTGGCCAGTCTACTTTCCGAGTGGAATTCATTCGAAGAAATTTATGAGAATGCAATGAGTATACAAATTTGTCAATTACTCATCTTACATAACAATCGAGATTCTACAGAACATTATCGTTTATCTCGCATTAGATCGAACATGAGAAGAAAGAAACGAGACGACAGAAGCTGCTGGTGGCCTCGCAGGATTTCAACGATGGCATCAACATGAACGGAAAGGACAGCGAGGACAGCATCTTGCCGTTGGAAAATACCACGATTATACCGATGAATACAGACTCTGTTGCATAAACACGAAAGAAATTGATCTGATCCGTTATGGATGTGATCCAGTTAGGTAGGGACGACAGTTTGCCGTGCACGAGCTCAGTACGAAGGTGTATGATTGAAACAGAATATCAAGTGAATATCGGCAGAATCCTTGCGCTGTGGCACAGTGCTTCCTCTTTTACATCGTGCCGTGATTAGTTTTGCGCGTCGATTCTGTCTAACGTTCTCTCTCGCAAGAAGAGTCCCATTCGAATTTCCTGGCTGGTCATCAGTATATAAAATGATTGCGAAAAAGAAGCGATATCATTCGCTTGTTTGCGACATACAGCAAGCATGTGTTTAGGAAATTTATCTACTTCTTGAGAGTGACTCCTTGCCAATGAAAGAAGGCAGAAAAGGAGAAAAATGACATCGTTATCAAGTTGTTACTGAAGGAAAATTATCTGTAACGGCGTTATGTGAGCATCTTTGAGAAAGAGTTAAGCGTATGGCAGAGAATGGCTGTGAATGAACGTACAAAATGAACATACGTTTGCGCTGAGGCAATACCTGCTTCATACGATTATAAACGGAATGTCATAAGTTGCAAGACGACGACGGCAGCAATGTGTATACGATGCACGAGTGATCGTCGTTGAAGCGACACGATGCGACGCGACACGCAGGAAAAGGAGCTCGAAAGTATTTTAAGAATTGATGCTGCCATTGTGCGTTTTACCTATCAAGATCACTCGTGTAGTTGTAAACACATACGAATGTGATTGTGAAAATAGGAAAGAAGAAAGAGAAAAGAGGAGAGAGAGAGAGAGAGAGAGAGAAATTATTTATATATTTATTTAAACGAAAGTAAAAGATACATACAAGTATGTGCACCAAGATTGACTCATAAAGATACTTATTGAATAAATCAAATATAAATTGTCTGTATGCACGTGCGCGCGCGCGCGCGTGTGTGTATATTCGGTAGGGTGGCGAATAAAACTACAAGACAAAGCGCTCGCGTCTCTTCTGTTTCGGGACTTCTGTTTTCGATTCGAGTTTAGTGTCTCCACGTCGACAAAATTCGCTACTATCCGGATGAAGTCTGACGCAAGCGATCGCAAGAATTTATTCATTGTTTCCGAATCAATCCAATAAGTAAAATGTTAGCGGTATGCCAGCAGATTGCCAATAGATTCAATCTGAATATCGTAACAGATCTGTAATATCCACTAAGTTCATGTTCTCTCGACGGAGTTTGCTGACACAATTCGACAGCAAATCGGCGGCAAAAGCCGAAAAGAATCTGCGGTACATTCCATTTAAATCCACCGAAATGACTACGAAACGACAGATTCTGTTCGGTATTTATGATCAATTTGTCATCTGTATTCTGTTAGCGGATCCCGTGCGTTTCTGTTAGCGAATTGTCGACTAAATTTACAGCAAACCTTGAGCACGATCTACTTTTGCAGGTTTGGCTATTTGAAAATCTTCGAGTCCAATTTTATTTTTGGTTCGTCAGTTGCGGAAGTAAAATTCGCCCGGGTCTGCTCACAGGTATTCTTCTGCATTATCCATGCGTACGCATGTTCACGGACTCGTTATCGAAATTAGCATCGAACGAGACCTTGGATGACGATAGTAATAAATTGAACAGAACCATTATAAGCATAGAATGTAACCTTCTCCCCGTATCCTGTACACTTCGTAGTCTTTGCTCTTGTGCGGCAATTACTGTGTCACTGGAGTACTAATCACTAATTATTCGAGATAATGACAGGACAATGGGCGGCGGGTACGACGATGGGAAGTGCTTAGTTCGACGGTAAATGCTTGCTCCCCTGGCCTACATTGAATGTTCCACAGAGAACTCCCTCGCGCACGATGAGGGACAGGGAGGAAGGCGAGACGGAGAAGGAGCCATTTTCCGTCTCGCGAATAGAATAGTCATTCGTCGACGACACTTCTTCATTCTCTCCCTATGTTCGTCTTTCGTATCTCTTATCGTAACAATTGCTGACAATTATTCCGTGGCATCACTGTCGACATATAGATATATTCTTTATCTAAGCAAAATGTTATAATAGTTTGCCAGCAAATTGGAAACTTCAACAAAATGCCGTGACAGATTTATAGCGTCTATCTGTGTTTACATTAACGTCAGAGTTACCGAGACAATTAACACGATCTACCGAAGCGAACGAAATGATAAACTTTCGAGAGAATATGTACCATACGTACCGTACGTACCATACAAGAGTTAAATATGTTCGTTTATTTCTCTCAGTCTTATATCCAAACCGTCCTTTGAAATATAAAATATATCATTGTACAGAGAGAGAAATTTGAGTAACTTTCATAAGAAATTACAAACTGTTTATTTTGGACCGCTAGTTCTAGCTCGCGTTTCGTCGTCAGAGTCCGCCAATGTAACTTGACAACCGATTGATAATAGAAACCGAGTATAAGATTTGCTGTAATATGTTCTGCTTGAGTGCATCGAAATGTTCATGAGACGATAGATTCTGTTCAGTTTTATGTCGTCAACAGCAGATATTGTGCAAAATCTGTTAACATTTTGGCTATTTATCTAACCAACATATTCAGGTATTCTCTATACTTTTACGTCAATTTGGTGCCAATATCGAAAATGTACATAAAGGTATTCCGGATGCACTCTTATCGCAAGTCGCGGCAAGATAAAGACATTTTCAAACTCACTCGCATGCCTGTTGTCACTCAATTGAGGAATCCTCGGGAGAAGATCCTCCTTAAGTTGCCGAAGCGGAGACTTAGACCGTGATGGTCGCGTTGATCGGCTCTCAATCGTTCGCGATCAAATCAATGTCAATGTGGTGGGGTGATCTATTTGAAGAGACGCGATGACGCTGTCGTGCAGTGAGAATCAGTCAGCGAGGTGAGTCGCAACAAAAGGTAAAGAGCAATCTCTATAAAGTGAAAGCGACGATTACTAAGCGTTACACATCGCGAGACAGCGATCGGATTTCCTTGTCGAATATACACCCCCCTTTTGTCAGCTGAGGACGCTTTTTTCTGACACGCACAATTGTCAAACGACTCATCGGGCGAACGTAAAATTCCTTATCGAAACTTGTGAGCAGGATGGCGGCGAATGATTCCCTTTGCCGGGAATCCCTGATATCGGTGGAGTTCGAAGTTTTCGGGAAAGTGCAAGGTGAGTACCGACAAATATCGAATCTAGTATCGCTGATTCTCTTTTCCTCTCTTGAGTTTATCGTGCGACAATGTTCAATGTGACGTGTTATGTTCTTTTTTTTACATTGTGCATCTTCGTGTTGCGAATTTGCGAATTTCTTCGGTTCCAGATTCTTCTGCAAGGTGATCGACGAATTCCGTTATATTGATAAATAGTATAGTCTTATTAAACAAGTACAGTAAACTTACACAGAGGAAACTATCATTCCACTACTAAGAAAAGCGATTACTTAGTTTACTTATTTTTTTTCAAGCAATAATTATTTCCAACAAAGAATATTTTCTTGATAATAATCTTCTAAAACATACTCATCATCAAAAGCTCGTTATATATCATGTATTCAAAAAAATTATCATTTTTAAGATTATAAAACTTGTATTTTATATAAAAAAGAGCAATCTAAACTTTTGTTTTACTTAATTTAATTATTAATTTAATATTTTTACGATGAAGATAGAACCAAGCATGTATCTCTTAAAATCTTTAACAAACTTGCAGGTGTGTATTTTCCAAAGTATGTGAGAGATATATGCCTGCAACTGGGAATTTGCGGTTGGGTGAAAAACAGTAAAGTTGGCACGATTCTTGGAAAAATGCAAGGACCTGAGGCGCTTGTCGATCAGATGTGAGTCTTATTAAGTCGTTGAGATTCGTCGATGAGATTCTCAACAAACAAAATTGATCGAAAACAGTCAAAAGTAGATATACCTTTTGAAGAAAAAAAAGTAGATATACCTTTTGAAGAAAAGAGCCAATTTTCCGATTTTTCGATTTTTATTTCAAGATAGTATATATCAACTATATCAATCAATGTATGATCTAGCATCTCATTGAAGAACGAAATTCAAATTTAAACAATTGAAAATTTGAAGAATATTCAAATTAAGATCTATAAATTTTACAAGCGATTATCGAGAAAATTTTTATATGTGGAAATGGTAGAGACGGATATTGGCCATTTTTCCAAGGCATGAATATACAATACGTTGCACATCTTGTGGATTTAATTAAAGCGACCAACTTGACTTTGTCGATCTCGGAAAAGAAACTTTGCTTTAGTAATCGCCAAAAGCTGAAAGCTTTGTTAGGTAATCGCACGGTTAAATAACGTATGTGTGTATTACCATCGTCTAATAATAAAGCTCGTCACTAGCTAACTGTTTAGATGTGCATTACGTGCGACAAAGTTCAACTATATCTATGAAACGGGAAAACGTACCAAATTTGCTGCAACGAAACTGCGTTCTCTTAAGAAACACGTCGTAAAATCGACGATGAGATCTCTCATAATAAACAATCAAATAAAAACAGGGTTAGAAAATAATATAACTTTTATCCAATAACAATTTAATAATGGCCAGTCTTTTTCCTCACTAACAACAATGACGTTATTATATTTTTTTACGATAACAGTAACGAAAATATAGATAAATTAAAATTTATTAATTTTAACAATTAAAGCATAACAATTAAAATATTCAAACTTTCCAATATAATCAATTTTATACAGAATATCTCATTTTACTTAACTTTTACACCATAATAACTCGAAAACATAGAATTTTGGTAAAACATATTTCAAATAAAAGTTGTAGAGTTTTAAGAGGATCATTAGATGAATCACCTAGATTTACAGTTCGGGGGCCACTTTAGGCCTAGTAAGACTCAAGTCAATATTTTGAAATGAGAATTACCATTTCTCATTACGGTTATATGTTTTATATGAAGAAATAAGAAAATTTTATTTATGGTTATTTTTCATTAAATTGCTAATATTAAATTCCTTCTAACAGACGTTCTTCAAAATTATTTTAAATTATTTTAATTATTTTAAAACACATTATGAAATGTCCAAAACGTTCTTTAAAGTTATTTTGAAATATGTTATGAGATGTCGATTTTTGGTCATGAAGAATTATCGAAAAAATAACAGGCTTGCGAATAAACTTGCATTTTAATGTTTTAGACTAGCGATAGCCTGTTACATTAGCTAAGAATCTCAGGATATTTACTACATATCATTTTGTATACAACTCGCCATTCTTTAAAAACAAGAACTCACTCAATCAGAAAAAAATACTTAAAAAGTATTTTTAAAAATATTAAAAAAACATTTTTAAAACATTAAAAATAATTTTAAACGAGTTATTAGTAAAATAAATATTAAATATACATTAAATAAACGTTAAATAAATATTTTTTGTATAATGAATGGAAAAAATGACCAAAAAAGTAAAATAAATAAATATTTAATAAATATTAATATTTAAAAAATGTTAAAAATATTATCTGCCGATTGGGCATCCGGATTTGTGTTTGTTGAGAGAGAGAGAGAGAGAGAGAGAGAGAGAGAGAGAGAGAGAGAGATAAAACTTATAAGAAATCAAAAAGCTTCTTCATCGGAGTTATCATTTTGTTTAAAAAATTACGAAGTAGTAACAATTTCGATAGATAGTCAAAAAATATACTAGGTCTTTTTGAGTATCATCCAATTTTTAACTTTTAAATATTTTAAATATTTAAATTAAATATTAAACTTTTAAATATTTTAACATGTGTCCTATATAGTGATGTGATTAAAATATTTATACATTAGAGGATTAAGTGTCCTTGACGGTGAAGAGCTGATTCTTTACGCATCTCAGAGATAAAAGAAACTTTGGGAAATGAAAAATAAAGTTTGCAAATATCTACTCACTCATTGACTAATCAACACGACCTATAACTATAAATTTACGCTGCGTGAGCAAAAAAGCTCAATCTTATTAGGCTCAACCCAGGGATCTCACGCTCAAAATTGTATATTCCTTTTTTAGAAAATAAAATATTGTTCGAAACTTCAACCAGAACGACGAAGAATTTCATCACGTTCATTTCTTCGATATCACGCAGAAAAATCGGCATCCCGTAATATATCAAAGTAAGAACTTTAAAGGACGTTTTGGGTCTGTTGAATGGCGTTTAGAGAAAACTAACGATAAACAAAACTTTCTTATTTTTTTCGTATACGAATACGAATCCGTAATAAAAAAAATAGGAATTTTGATAAAAAAAAAATGAAGTCTTATTGAACTCAAAGTGGGCCTCGGACCCACTTGATCTCTTAAAATCCTATAACTTTTATTTGAAATATTTTTTACTAAAACGCCAGGAGAAGAGGGTTTTAAGTTATTACAGTAAGAAAGTTAAAATGAGACATCCTTAATTAAACATCCTTAATGCACTTAGCTTAAGATATATATAATAATTTATTAATTTATTTTCACGATGATCTCACGATTACTAATCGGGATGTTTACCTTAGGTCCGCTTTTTCAATCGTGATTTAAACTAAAGATTATGAACATTATAAAGAGATTTAATCCTTCTTTGATCCATAAATCTAGTTTTACATCTTGTATGTTTTTCAAGCATACGCTGAAAACAGTTTATCTAAACTTTAAATAAACCTTTGTTATTCTTAAGTTGGCAACGAAAAGTCATCGCTATGCGGGTCACTTTTAGACACATGGAAATTTAATTCTAATATAAGTACAGTCTAAGGCACCTACAACGTGGAAATTTTGCAATATTGTAAAACTTTTCATGAAATCTTTGAATATCATCTTCTATATTCGGAAATTTTATGCAGGTCTAAGTTGAGCAATTGCCCTTGAAATTTTATTAATTATTTTATTTGCTTTTATAAACATCAAAAAAGCTTTTAACATATAAACATCAACAAAATCATCTACGCTTATAAAAAAAATCCACTAGCATAAAATCTTATTGTTAATAATGTTATTTCATACTTACTGACAAAGCCTGATTTCTGAAAAAAAATTTAAAAAATGCAATAAAAATAATTTTATATTATTTGTATAATATTTATTATTAGTAAACATCATATTTTGCAACTAGTTAATTAGTTAAAACCAATATATTGAAAAATATTCTATATATGTCATTTAATTTATATGACATGTATTAATACTTTTCAGTTGGTGATTGAACAGTTTCTTGAATTTTTTCTATTAATATATGAACTGTAGCTTTGGATAAACGAAATCTTTGAAGAAATTCTTTTTCATCCCAAATTTCAAAATGATTTGGTCTTCGCCTTACAACACGATTTTTTCTCATGTTGATATGTTTTATATATCCTAAAATATTCTCATTTTCACTACTCTCTTCATATATTCTTCATTAAACATCGTAACAAATATTTTATACTTTTATAAATATTTAACAATATGATTTTAAATATAATAATAGAGATACTGTATTGTGTGTGTATGTGTGTGTGTGTGTGTGTGTGTGTGTGTGTGTAACGACGTTTATTAATCCATTAAACGACGTTTAAACGGTCATCATTCACAGTTTAGTTAAACTATGTTTTAAATTACGTTTTATTCTGATCTATTCATTGAAAAACAGTCTAGTGCTTTTGAATAGAATTTAAACTTCGATCTAAGTTTAAACCATTATTGAAAAACCAGCCTTTATTTTTTCAACGAATAATGAACTAAGGTGACAAATTACCTTGAACAGACAATTTTCAAGCAACCCTACCAGAACGTGTTCGTACTCCTCGAAAGATCAGTCGTAGCGTTCATTGTGCTAACTGTCGTTTGCGTTTTTCGACACATGTCGCGCGAGCGGATTCCAAATAGTGCACCATTAAAGTCATTAGTTTATGTATGCGTTAAACGGGGCATCCGTTCCTTCTCGACGCCTCCTCAAAGTCCCGTGCGGCCTTGGCTAACGTCTAAAACTAACTTTAATGAAGTAATGACGCAGTGACGACAGCGATCACCTGTTTCCTCTGCTGACGGTCACTACGTTGAGCGTCTAGTCATCGATGTCGAGCTCAAAAGAGCATCAACTTCGATGTCGCCTGACTTATTCGCACATTATCGGCACATTATCGGAACATTATCGTTACGGAAATATCGCGTCATGCTCCTCTCGCGCTTCGTATAAAAGATCGTTTTCGCAGATTCTGCAGTAGAAAAGCCGGCAAAAGCAGCAGTTCCCACGATACCACGCGTTAGAGCGATACACGCGTGCGACAAAGTACAACACTTTTGCCTTTGAAAGAGGAATCGGAGGGTCGCTAAAAGGAGACACGGAGGATATTCGTTACTCCGAGATGCGAGTCAAACCTACTGATCCGTTTCTTTGATTGTAATCGCATGAATAACGCATGAATATCACAAGCAGCAACCCCGGAACAATAGCTCATGAAGAAAAAAATGCTCGAAGAATTCACCTATGCGCGAAAAGGGAAAACAAATCAGAGAGATGTCACGGCACGTTAAAGAACGCGCGATGTCAAGGTTGATCACATTCGTTCACAGTCTGCGGAAAAGATACTATCGATGTTGTTCCATCTTGGAGAGACGGTCGATGAGTTACGAAGAAATACGCGATATCATCGCGTAAAAATATCCGAAACGTGGTCCGATTAGCCGCTAATTATAATTTCGAAACGTACGAACCGCACATTGGTGGCGTGGCATGGCGCGTAAGTGCGTTTATACACAGAACGCACACGTGAACAGCGTTGTTTGGTAACGATGTCAATGTGCAATTGGCAACACGACAAACGCTCCCGCAGTATGACCTTCTTAAACTTGAAATCGTACGCTGCTCGATCTTTCTCGTAGGATCGATTGCGCCTGCTTGCACAAGGAGATATCCGCTTCTTAGGAGACTTTCCAAAATAACGCAGAGTTCGCGTGACAAAACCCTCTCCGATATTCGTTAAGGGGGGAATTACATGCGGAAGGTCGTTCTATTTTTGGCACAATTTTTTTAACAGAAACGATAGGATCAATGGACTTGAAATTTTCACAGTGTATTCATTAATGTTCAAAGTATAAAATAAATTTGTTACTATCTATATGGAAAGTATACATAAAACTTTAAACGCGTTTATCTGGAAACACCATTTTCTTAAACTGTCAACGCAAAAACTACTGAACTGAATAACTTGAAATTTTTACACAATATATAGTAGACATGTGGTTTTCGCCCCTACCTCGAGCACAGTTATATTTTATTTTATTCGTTTTTTAAACATGATTACAAGTTGAAAGAAAGTTTCATTTTTGATATTTTTTTTGTACAGTCACTTTTTCAAACTTGGCTACACTGCCTTTATTTTCGTACGGGCTATAATGGTAACTGTATATTTAAAAAATTTTTCTCATTTTTTGGTTTCAAAGTAGTAAGAGATCCGGACGACAGCAAACATAGAGCTCGCAAACGGATGACTGCATTTTTATTTATAATTACAAATTGGATCGGTTCTTGTGATTCAATAAAATTTATTTTATACCTTGAACATTAATGAACATACTGTGAAAATTTTAAGTCCATTGATCCCACCGTTTCTGTTAAAAAAATTCGTAAAAATAGCCTTGAAAACGGCCTTCCGCATGTAATTCCTCCCTTAATACTTTTCGTCGTTTTTATGCTTCATCGTAGCTTTCATTGTTGATATTTGATGAATACTTAACGGTGTTATAGAGACGCATTATCTTGTGATATAACGTGCGATTAATATTAATGCAATTAATAAGTAATGCCTAATTTCCAGGGCACAATGGCTAACTTCGGTAGGGAGTCCGGGTAGTGAGATACATCGGTGCGAATTCACGAGCCGGGAGACTATCGTAAAACGGCAGTATCAAGGCTTTGCGATCCGCTTCTAAAAATGTAATGTATAGTTGAGTGTACGTTCATTGTACTGGAGTAGCTTTGACGTGCGTGCAAAAATTCCTCTTACATATGATACAAAAACCATGATTTTTCGCAAAACACAATGATTCTCTCTCTCCCCCTCTCTTTCTTTTTCTCCTCCCTCTCGCTGTGTTTCTCTTGTTTCTTCTTAACGTATTGTTGATTTTTTTTTCGTATATAGTCTGGTTAACACGTGTAGCAGCACATATATTTAATGTATTTTTAATAAATTATACATATAAGTCAAAAACGACCATCTTTTTACATAACGGTGCACGTTCAAACGAAATATTATATTTGATTACAGATATACAATAATAATTTGAATATTTCTTTCACCTCATTCGCACAAACTTGACGTTGCTATTACGGGTAACTTTGCAAATCGAGAAATAATTCTCGCGCGAGTGGTAATTCTCGTGAGAATGTTAGATAAATTACGTTTTGTATCTTAAAATTAGAACGATTTCTTTGCTTTGTGATATAGCAACATTAACGAAGTTCTGTATATACACATGTACATTTATTCGATTTCTCCTCTAGCCTGGGTTGCGACTAAGAAACAACAAACGACGCTATGTTGGAATCATCACTTATAGTTTGTTACATATGATTAGCCGCTCGCAACCTTGCAACTTCATTCTCTCACTAATTTTCTTATTACTATATATAATATTATACATAAGAACGATATACAATATCTCTTGTTATCGGGAGTTTTATCTCAAAGTCACAGAATTACTCTAGCAATTTTCACTTCGTTGTATATGTGTGTTTGCTATATACATAGCTGCACAACTCTTCGTAGAATCTCCCGGCGGTATGGCGGTTTCGTGCTTCACATTATCACAAAACATAAAATGCCAGGACATAAGACTGAGTCAATATTTAGTGGCTATCTTGAAAAATGAATGTTGCATCTAACATTAGTTCTGCGAGATGGTAATCACAATGAGATTTTGGTAAATGCACAGACACTCGACGAATCAATTCCACGATATCATCATTCGAGCAATTCGTAAAGATGATTTCGGGCACGTTCTGGAAAAAAGAATTAATAATCATAGAGACAAAAGATATCTCGGCAGATGTGACAAGATTTGTTTTCTATTGCTAAATTAATTAATTGCTAAATTAATTAATTGCTAAATTAATTAATTAATGTACTCTCGAAACTTCAAAAAAGACGAGTATACAGTTGAGACTTGGTAAAGAAAAAAAGGAAAAGAGAATTAATGCAAGGTAGTACAGCCAATTCAACGATAGGAAACAAAACTAATATTGGTATTAGACCCTACCAGGCTCTCTAAATATCTCATGAGTGCCGGACTTATTCGTGAAACTTCTTCCAGTAGATTAGGTGTTCTTGAGAGATACGCCATCATCCTTCTTCCAGCAATAGACAATAGATTCGCGCCCAAGCGTTCAATATCATTCACCGCTGTCATTATCTAATTTGTATATATGTATTGTGCATGTGTACATACATACATACATATATATATATATATATATAAATTAAATGGTCTTTCATATTCTGGTATGTATACGTGTAGGTAAATATATATGTATATATATATAAAATGTCCCATTTTAAATGAGCCAGGCAAAAATCTTGAAACATATGAATGGTTTCAAAGAGGACATAAAACAACTATATCATTTCCTTTACCACCATGGCACCACTTTCGAGATACTGATCATTACTTTTCTTAAATGGAAATCTGCTGCTTAAATGGAATACTGGCTTATTTAAAATGAGATACCCTATATAAATATCATTCGTGCATATATAAATATCATTGTAATTATGCACAGTATATGTGCATTTGTATGTATATACAGATAATAAAGGATTCGCGTTATTATACATACCTCTTCCGCCAAGCGATCAAAGCCGTTTATGTACAATTGACAGACCTGATGTATCCTTAATTCGTCGTTGTTAATTTTCCAGATGGACGCCAATGTCTGACACTTACCCATCCACGAGATAGCCTGCGTGGAGCTAACTGTCGTACCATCGCTGGTTTCTCGATGAATAAACTCCATCGACGCTGTGATTACTTTGCACAAAAATTCTGTACGCGTAGTGTCCCTTTTGTCATCTCGATACCACGTGAGCATCGCTTTGTCTGTGATGTCTTGAAAGAAATAGGGCTGCACCTACAAATGATAGATAAGTATTCGTATATGAACTTATGATGGGCGGATTTCTTGTTTAAAGAAATTCTTAAGCAATTCGCAATCGTAACATTCAAATCGCCTCAAATGCTATTCAAGACCGAAAGATGTGCCTCAAATTTGTCGCTATTATTGCCAAGCAACCCAATCACTTACCACGGACTCGAATAAGTTATTCAGCGGCTTCAGCATTTTCAAATTAAGACACGCCATTATGTATAAGATGTTGACTACTTGCACATGTAATAATATCAACTCGTACCAAGCGGGTGTTTGAGAAATAGCTAATGTGGCAAACGGTTGCGGTCCACTAGGATGTCCTTCCCACAGTTCTTCGAATTTAATCATCGCACTGTCGCTTCGCTCAAGTATCTCAGCCTACATAAACGTGTAAAATAATTTATATAACTTATATTTATATGATTAATTTATATCAAAATATAATAATTCGTGATTCAGTGTAGTTGCATGTCGCGCTCATCATATAGCCAGTTGTGCAATTCTTTATATTTTCTATATCCTATGTACTAACATCAAGAAATATATCCAAGAAAGTAATGGAATGCTGCAGGAACGTTGTCACTTGAATGTCCGATAAACCAATATCTTGCATACATAATCTTTCCTTAGGCAATTTCCCAAGTTTGTTCATCAGCTTTGCTACTGCTTCTATACGTTTTTTTATATGAAGCGTCCATAACAAACAGCAAACACCTGCCCAATAAACACGATTGTTACACGCAAATATGAATATTTTTCTAAAAAGATTTATATTCTATGTAATAAGAATGTTAACATCATCTGTACCATGTTTCATATGCTTCATGGGTATCTGTCGCAAAACAGCCACGGCAGCCGCAAGCGATTCTAACTGAGTTACGTCTTTGTTCCATGACATCGCAAACTCCCAGCATAGATTGGCCAACAAAACGCTACTAGTTAAACTATATGGGAAATGACGTTTGAGCAGGGTTATTTTATCTATAAAAAGAGAATTGGGAAGGAATAATGAAATATATAATAATAAAATTCAGATATTAGAAAGAGAGAGAGAGAGAGAGAGAGAGAGAGAGAGAGAGAGAGAGGAGAGAGAAAGAGAGAGAGAGCCATTTTAAATAGTCATCTCGAAATATAAATATTTTGAAAAAATGTATTCGACAAAATTTTCAGGCAAAAGTTTGGATAAGATCAGATCAAAATAATTATTTTACAGCCTCCTGACAACCAAATAACATTTTTTTAAACATATTTTCGTATATTTCTTTCGAAGTAGGTGTTTAAAATAGGTCGCCCTGTATAAATAAATATATTTCTTGCCTAAGATGCACGCTTCCGTGGTTGTATCAACTTTCGCTTCGTCTCCGATTTCTACCGAAAGCGAAAGAAGTTTCGTCTGTTCTTGTTGAGGTATATCGACGGCAGACACTTCGTCCAATACATCATTCAGTTGCAACGAATCCACTGATAATTGAAGCTGATCAAATTCTACATCGGTTGTGTCAATCAATCGTGCAGGATTGATACTTGTTGTACTGAGCCACTTCGCAACTAATTCAGATACGGAGCCTAATTCGAAAAGAAACGATATATTCTTCGTTTAGCGAAACGAGTTAGTGATTATCGTCTATGAGAGATTAAAATATACTTTTAGTTTCATAATAATTCTAGAAGAATATTTCAATGATAATGTACTCCCATTCAGTCGTTATTTTCTGAACGCAGCCATGTAATTATAAGTAGAATACCGTCAATTGAATATTTATTAGTAGAATATCGCCAAGAAAATTCATGCGATTTCTATTGACGAAAGTGCAGCGTTAGTGAAATTTAAGATACTTCCAAAATAATGAGTTAGTCAAGATTTGCAGATATCTCCGATACAACTTATAAATTCGTAAACTATGCGTTTCTAACTGTTATATAAAATATTTTTCTATATTACGTAAAATTATAATTCCTATAAATATATCTTTATAGAAACTGCACGAACTTTTTTGGTTATCTGATACAACTACATAAGCGATAAAATTTATTTTATTATATGTACCTTTGCCTTTAGAAATAATCAGCGACAATGAAATGTCGCATTTTGTAAAAGGTAAAGCGAAAAATTGTGTTGTCTGATCTGGTATAAACTGCTGACTGAAATTGGAATAATACTGTTTACTGTACACAAAAAATTTAGATCTCGATGTATAATTTGATTATTTATACATACTTAACAACAGCATTCAGAACTGTAATATCTTCAAGATTCCCAATTAATAGCGTGAATTGACAAGTGTCCTTACTAACATTTTCCCATTCACTAATTGAACTGTACGTCTCATCGTCCGGTGTAATGTCATATATTTTACTCTCCATTTCATCCATTTTAATCTTATTATTCCCATTTTTAATATCTTCCACTTCGTCTCCCAAAATTCCCAGAGACTTCTGATTTTGTAATTTCTCTTTATGTATCTCTATCATTATTGCGATCGCTCTGCATGCCAATGCAGCAATAAGAGCATTGAAAGGCTTCGTAGATTCTGTGAGAATTGCGCGCACATTTTTCCACCACAAAGAAGCCTCATTGTATTCAGTACATATTTCTTCTACATCTGTTGAATTCAAATTAATAAAATTCAATACGTGGCGCAAAGGACGATCAAAATCCATTTAAAATGACAGTTGACTTACCAGTTAATAAACAAATAACATGCAGAAGCTGTGTGAAACGTTTTAGCTCTATCTCAGAAATCGTGATTTCCTTCTTATGTGTCCAGTAAATCAATGCTAGTTGCATAAAAATGAACGGCTGAATGTTACTGTCTTCAGCAGCTTGTTGCCATTTTTCCTTCACATCGTTACAGTACATCCATCCTTGATATATCAGACGCGCTAAAAATTACATATTTAATAAATCAATTTCACGTTTTCAGATATTACAAAGTATATACATACCGATCTCATGTATTTTTTCCTCTTTCAAATCTTTTCGCAAGCTAATTAATTTTAAGTCGCCGAACTCGAAGCACGACAAGAAGTAAAAAAATGCCCTCTCGTCTTCTTTAAATTTGACCTTGCTTTCTGTTGAAACGTTTGCATCTTCAAAACTGTTTAGTGTCTTGGCCAGTTTAATGATGCGATATATTTCCCGCTCTGAAGTTAATAAGGTCGAGGATAAATTTTTGACATTCGGTGCACCACCGGCTGTCACAATGTCATATTCAGGTGCAGTATCGAGTAGAGATTTAACATATTTATAAAATGTAATCATCCGCTGTAACTGCGTTGTTAATTGATGAAGTATTTTAATGGTAACTTCTAGTTTTTCTCCCTCTTCTTCTTCTTCTGTAACATTGATTAGATACATTTGTTTATAATACCGTTAATAAAAAAGAAAGTAATGATCAGTGAATATCTCGAAAGTGACATCACTGTAAACAAAATGATATAGATGTTTTATGTCCTCTTTGAAACCATACAACTTTTGTCTGAAACGTTTCTTAGTTTATTTTTCATATTTTTTGAGATTTTTTCCTGGCTCATTTAAAATGGGACACCCTGTATATAGAAAAATAATAAAAGTAACTTGCAGTTCGCGACTCATACGATAAGATTACACAGACTTATTAGGACGTTTAATAAACATTGTTAAGATGTTTAATAAACATCGCAATAATGGAGTGATCGGTGAATTTATATGTAACCATGTTTCTGCGCTCACGCGTTCGCTATATAGAGTGAGTAATAAATCGTAATCTGTACGTAATTATATATATCACGTAATTATGTATATCATGATATATTATATAGTATGCAGTAAAAAGCACACAATACCTACGTGACTGTGTTGCAAAATAATTTGTCGCAGCGAGCAAAACATCTGGCAAGACATGTTTACTGTTCATTAAAACTTCTATCGTTTGTATCTTGATCTCATTTGTCTTTAGCTCTAAGCAAATGTTGGTAACCTCAGAGATTAATTTCTCTTCATCAAATTCCTCCTCCCTCAGGAATGTTTTTAGTTTTCTAAGCAAGTGTATATCGCGTGCTCGTTTGCCGTTTTTACTGTTGAGCGCAAAATAAAATGGGACACAAATTTCCTTTAATCCACCCAGCGGATCCATGAACACACATGAGTATTGTGCTTTGTTTTTGTACACAGTAGTATTATTAGCCATACCCAGAAAACCATAATTGATGTACAATAATCTGTGAAAACATATTATATTATTGACTTTGTATTAATTAATAAAAAGGAAAAAGGAATGGAGAATGGAGCAAAAGAAAAATGAAAGAGAATGGAACAAAAAGAGAAAAAAGTTAAAAAAAAAAAGAAACGAAATAGCAAGTGAAAAATCATTATTTACCGTCCGTTTTTACTAGCGGTGAAAGTAGTTATCTTCGGGCCCTGTTGAATACTCCAAATATCGATTACACCTTTTTTCGGAGCGTAAATAACGAGAAACATGGTGGTACGTAATAAAGTTTTCTGCATGGGTCTGTTAATATTTTTGTGAATTCCGCGATCTTTTTCTTCATTAACTTCAATCCAGCCGCACTGAGCGTCGCGATATCCTTTCCACATTCTCACAGCTATACCTTTCTTGTTATTAATAAGTATCACTCTGCCCATGGCGTCCGATATTACCGATAATACTTTATTTGGACTGCAAGTGATACAGTCACCCTCTCTCATGATGTCACTCAAGCCAAACCGACAAGTCATTGTTTCTATAGATTCATGAATGTTACTTTTTGATGTTGCTTCAGATGTTGCAGTCTTTGAACTGCTGCGAAACCATCTAGCAAGAAATTTAATTACAGTTGGATCACTTATTTAAAAACTATACTGTACTAATATTTGTCAATACTTACGGTACTGCTGTGCCAATAGCACTAGCTAATTTGCTAGCCATAGCAATGGCAACATCTGATAAGACAGGTGCATTGCCTCCCTCAAGCGCATAATGAAATCCTACAAATGGCCGCTTTCCTGTAGCAAGAACTAAATTATGTTGTGGTGCACTGGATCTATATGTCGCGTTGTATCCACCGCAAATTGAAGCAGTCATCAAGTGATCAAAACTATTTATCGACGTTGTACCAATTACTTCCGAATCATTCGAAATATCTTGATTTTTGAATGCCCACTTTTTATATGATAGATTAGTAATTGGAGGCAAATCATCGCATTTTGCTTGAACTGCAAACAGTTATCAAATTGAATTCTCAGGTAGGGCAATGTGTTAAGATATAGCATACCTCTAGCTAAATGATTTCTACAGGCACGTAAAGTTGAAAATAAAGGAAATCCTTGTAATATGCAAACACCACTATTGTACAAGATATAAATTTCTTCGTTATAACCAACATCTCCATGTTTTACTGAACAGGATGACTGACATTTTATTCCTAAAATTGACTCATTATGAATTTGCTCTTCCAAAAGCATTGCACCTGTCTAATGTGAAAAGTAAATTAATATTGTAAATTAACAATGGAATAATAAAAATAAAGCTTATATACTTACTTCTGTGTAGAATCTAACAAAACCTGTGTTATACCCAATAGTTATACATGTCCAATCTGGACCACTAGCCTTTCCTAAAGATATTAAAGGCAAGCAGATCACTGATGTGATCCATTCACTAAAATACAACTCAATTATAATCGTAAACTTATTATTATAACATGTCTTAAAAATATTACTTACTTTTGTTCTTTTACTACTTCTCCATGCCATGTTATATGAAACTTATTTTTTACTTCTTCTAATTCTTGAGAATCCCATTTTGCTATTAACAGATATCAAAATATATTAAATATCTTATCTGTTAATAAAATAATTTTGTAGTATAAACAATCTTTATTAACTTGAAGTATGTATCAGTAGACATAACTCGTTTGTTACATGTTAACAAAAAAAATGTTTATATATAATCATATATATGACAAAAATAAAATAACATAGATGATATTTATACTTACAAACAAATATAATCATTTTTGTATCCCAAGCTATAACAAGCACATCTCCAACTGATGATAATGATATGTGACAATCTTGGAGAGGTAATTCATTGCTCGGTACATAATCGACTAAAGTGTAAATTTGAGTTGGGTTAAAATATATTGATGTACGTCATATTTATTTTATTACTAACACTTACATTTGTTAATAGCATCACCATAGAGCAATTTTTTAATATTATTTATGTCCGGTATGTTTGCTATTCCTTTAATTTGACACGACATTGCGCTTAATTTGTCACATTCGAAAATATCCCCTTTTAAAAAATGACAACTATCGAATCTTTATTTATTATTATTTACCACAATCTGTTAATGATTTGGTTCTCTCTTTAGACCCATCTACAATGGCTGCAAAAGAATAAGGGCCAGAGCACAGACTTCTGCATAAAGCCCCTTGCACAATGCCAGGCAACAGGCAATAAGAATAAAAATAGACCAATCACAATCGAGTATTACAAGAATAATCTATTGTAATTGGTCTACTTTTATTCTTAAGCCAGCAGCACACGGTGCTTGTTTTCGTGCTGGCTACATTTCCGAAGATGGATGGAAATGCACCAATCAGAACGCAGTATTTTCATCCAGCAAGCAATCCAGCACAAAAACAAGCACCGTGTGCCGCTGGCTTTATTGCCTGTTGCCTGTGGCATTGTGCAAGGGGCTTGTTACGTCCTGGACAAGCATAGAACATGCAATGTCTAGATTTGTTTGGTTTACTTCGAATCAATATTCTTGTCCAAATCTTTATTATTTGAATCTGTTGCCTTTGGAGGTGGGTTACTGTTAGGTTTAAAAAATAATAATATTCTCGCTAGTGTTGAATTTAACTTTAAATATATTTCCCTTTATTTCAGATTTTATTCTCGGGACCAAAGATTTTGATGGATCTGTTTTGAAAACAGCCAGGTCGAGCGTGCCTGGATTATAATAACTTTTCAACAGACGTCTAAATTGAATCCGCCGTTCGGCTCTTCTTGTTCTTTTCGGCATGAGAGATTTTTAGGTAATATTTATTTTAACAATATCAATAGAGTAGATGGAAGGGACGTGGTTAAGTTTGAAGAATAAAAAGGCGAATGGTGCTTGTGGTTCAAGCACGACACTCTTAAAATAAGGAAGAGAAGAACTGTGCTCGTGGTTCAAGCACTGCGTTCTGATAAAAAGGGAGGAATGGTGCTCGTGGTTCAAGCACAATACTCTTAAAGTAAAGAAAAGAAGAACGGTGTTCGTGGTTCAAGCACGGCGTTCTGGAAAAAGATTGAAGATGATAAGAGGGAAGAGAGGTAAAGAAATCTGTACACACATATATATATTATGAAATTACTCTATATTGTTAAGTTCAAAAATTCATACACTAAATTTAATGTAGTTAATAGGTGGCTCAATACTTATTCAAGTAATAGAAATGATTCTCTATAGTATCATTATGAGGAAAAGAGGCTCGTTCGACCTTTTCGATTTGGATTTTACGTCTTAACAAACGTCTTAGCATTTGCAGACGGAGTCCCAAGAACAATAATCTTTAATACCGATCTTTTGATTCCAGGCTGAAGACCCTTTGGCAATCGGCTAACAAGAGGCTCAGCGAAAGATTGTCTGATGGCTAATTGGAGGCTAACAAGAGACTGCTTAGAAACTAACGAGAGACTGCCTGCGCGCGAAGGGCCGAGCCCTTTTTATACCCAAGCTCGACACTATGGATATCAATTGAGCGTCTTTTCCTAATTCACCATTCATTATTTATAGGTTAAAAAATATAAAAATGTTATTATCTAGTAATTAAAATTATACTTAATCATATGTAGCGTTTGGTAATTCAGTTATCTCGTTGTTGGCTGATTTATTAATAAAATTATGTTTTACTAAGAAATGGAAATGTTGTTATTGATTTCCTTTGGTATAATATAAGAATTTGGAAACTTAAAAGAATTATTTCATTCGGGCGTAGTAATCATTAAAGTTAAATAATACGAATAGATCCTCTTACAATTCTAAAGCGCATATACATTGGGATAGGCGGTTTGACAATAATATTTGAGGAATTATTTGCGAAATATGATGGCAATTATTTAATATCATTTAAAAAGAAGAAAAATAGAAGAAAGAAAGGAAATTATTTTCCTCTTCGAGTCTTTGTTTCAGGTCTTTGTTTAGTTCGCAGAACGTGGGACAGCTATCACTCGATGATATCTATAACATAAACACATTCCAATATGTGCGCGGCTGTGTCCGAACGAAATCGTTCTTAGTCCCCGAGACAAATGAATTTATAAGCTAGCTCTAAATTTATTTCTTAAATTTTCTTATTCTCTCTTTTCCTATTTTATATATTTACTATGTCGATGTCTGCTTCAGTCCTATGTTAATGTTAATTTTATTTCAAAATATGCTATTTATGATTATTTTTATGTTATTTAGTTGTTTGATAATCTATCGCTTACTAAATGAAGCAAGAAGGTATAAGGAAGAGAGAGAAAGAAGAAGATAGATGATGATTCAGTAAATAGTTTCGAGTATTAATGATATTATATTATATTAACGATAAAAGACGGCAGAGGTATCTGTTGATTGCAGAGGTGTTTGTAGGAGGCGTTGCAGTTGGATTAGTCGATGATAGGTAAGGATTTGATTAGGTAGGAAAAGGTATGGTGAGTTTTGGTGAGAAGATAGGGAATTGTAATGTGGTGGGACGTTACATTGGCTGCGTTCCGATATTCACTGTAAGTACTGACAATGTGACATCACTCGGTAAAGCTACAAAGATCGTTCCATTATTACTGATGTTGCTTCTTTACGTTATAGTACTGCAATAACGGAACGATGTCCGCAGTACTGCGATTGATTTAAAATATTAACCTATCAATATAAACGAAATTGTCAAAATGGATAAAAAACTTGAAGTGATTTGTGAGTTCGCGAAATATTTAATGGAATCATCAGATGAATCAGACAGTGAAACATCAGATGAGGAACACGAATTGCTCTTATTATTAATTGTGCAAAAGACGAATACAATATCGCATAAACATTGCCAGAATTATGTTGAAAACGTTGATTTAACGTTGTACCCTTGTACATCGATGAAGAATTCAAAATGCATTTTCGGTAAGAAAAAATATGCAGATAAAATTTTGACAGTTTACATACATAAATGCCATATTGAATAAATTAACTTTTATCTTTTTATAATAGCTATTCTTTATTTTAGGATGAAACGGAGTACGTTTCAAATATTATTAGAACTATTAAGACCAAGCCTCTGGAAACAGAGTAATAGATATGGCAGGCAACCAATATCGCCTGAAAAACAACTACTCATAGCTATTAGGATTATGGCTACACCAAATTCCTATAGGTAAGAAGCATATAAGTAAATTGAATTATAACTTTGGATTTGTATAAAATAGATATATGTAATAAATCTTTTGTTCAGATGTGTTTCAGATAGATTTAACGTTGGTAAAGCTACAGCATGGCGAAGTGTGCAAAAAATTGTACATGCATTGTATAAAAAAATTACAAGTTTTATTAAATGGCCAACTATAGAAGAAGCACAACAAAGCATGGATACCATGGAACAGCAATATGGTTTTCCAAATGTTATTGGGGCAGTAGATGGAACACATGTAAAAATTACTGCTCCACAAGAACATAGTGAATCATACATAAACAGAAAAGGGTTTCATTCGATTCAACTACAAGTAAGTTAATGTTATTAATATTTTAATATTAATATATGATAAAATGTTTTTAATACTGTAGACATGTTTGTTTTTTACTGGATGATGTTAAAAGTGTGAAATATATTGTACTATCGTGGACTAGAAAGTTATCTGTAATTTTTGTAATGAATTTGTGAACTCTCCTTCTATTTAATGGAAGAATTCGTTTTTTCATGGTATAATACTCCCATTGGACAAGATAGAGCTTACAAACTCATTCCAAAAATTACAGTCAACCTTTTAGTATGCGGGCACACACATACACAAATCATGTACTTATTAATAGCAAATGTTTCATTTATATCATTATTAATGTATGATGTCAACATTGAAAAATTATAATGTTTTAGGTAATTTGTAATCCACAATTACAATTTATACATTGTTATGCAGGACAGGTTGGTTCCGTGCACGACATGCGTGTTTTTAAATGATCTAAATTCGAAAATGTGTACGGATGCGAATTTTCCTCATGATTGCCATATCCTAGGTGATGCAGCATATCGATTAACAAAATATGTGATGGTACCATTTAAGGATAATGGTCATCTATCAGAAAGACAAAAATATTTTAATGTTTGTCTCTCTTCTGCTAGAATGATCGTGGAGCGATCATTAGGTCTCCTAAAAGGTCGTTTTAGAAGTATATTAGACACACTTCCAATGCAAAGAACGGATTTAATTCCCAAATATATAATTGCTTGTTGCATTGTGCACAATATTTGCTTGTTGAATAATGATATAATAGATATTCCTATTATTGTTAATCAGCCTAATATCATGCAAGAAGCACAAATATTAGAAGACAATGCTGCACACAGAGAAGGTATAGAGAAAAGAAATGCAATTATGTACTATTTACAAAATGTTTAAACGATGTGAAAGGAAGAAAAGATGTTTACTTTATACTTTTATATTAGTATATTTTAAATACAGAAATAAATATTATTATATCACATATCTCGATTCTTTTTATTTTATATAACTATATATTATATTTTAACAAGGATAAAATATTATTAAAAGTAAGTTTTAATTTAGGTTTACATTAATATATAGTTAATATATATTCAGTCTTTTCTTATACTGTCATAGATTATAAACCTAATCATTGAACTGTACTAATTTTTGTTGATAAACAGTTAATAAAAACATAAAATAAAATTTTTATCACATTTCAGTATATGATATTGCCAAAGAAATATAATATAAAAACTCTGTACTTAAACTTTAAACTTTGTAATGAACAAAATAAACATTCTATCCTTTATCCGTTTTTCTTCTTCACTCAAAAATAAAAAAATTCTGAACTAAAATTCTAAACTTTATAAAACAAACATTCTCTCTTTTATCCGTTTTTTTTCTCACTCAAAAATAAAAAAAGCTCTGAACTTAAACTCAAAACTTTGTAATGAACAAAATAAGCATTATATCCTTTATCCGTTTTTCTTTCTCACTCAATCTACTTTACTTTTTTCTTTTTCTATCAATCTTTGCATTAAATCTTGTAATCGCTTAAATGCAATTTGTTTCTCTTCATATTTTTTTTCTCTAAACTTTCTTCGTTTCTTTTGTTCTTCCTTGTTATATGATATATAGTCTTGTATAAGTATATTCAACTTTCTCTTTTTAATATCTAAAATTATAAATGTCGAACACACTTTTACAATTCATTTTACTTATGTAGGACACAGAAGGCATCTTTTACCTTACATTTTTCCTGTGGTGTATTCTCTTTCTCATCTTCATCCACATTTGATCCTGCCACAGCCAAAGGTTTGATCCAAGGTTTATCCGCAAACAATTCATTCATAATCTGAGGCAAAAACATGATCTTTATAATTAAATGTCGATGTATTAACATTAATAAACATATAACATATATATATCTTTATGTAAGAATAAACTTAAAAAATCTTGTACTTTTAGATATTCCCATTCTTTGCGATTATTCCCACTTTTGTTATTATGATCCATAATTGATTTATATGTTCGTTTTAAGGCCTGAAATTTTGTTGAACATTTCATGCCCGTTACATCATATCCTTTGTCTTGCATAGCTTTTGCAACTTTATCCCAGTATTGTTTAACTGTTCCTTTTCCATTCTGATATTCATCCTTATATTCACCATATATGTTTAATAATAATAGAGTTTCTGGTGTAGTCCAAATATGTGTACCTATAATGATTAAAGAAATACTATTATTTCAATATTTGATGCAAATTGGATACATCTAATATGCAGTAGACACTTATTATATTAGATACACCTTTGTATATTTATTTACAAAGGTGTATCTAATATAATAAGTGTCTACTGCATATGATACACAAAATGATTTAGTCATTTGTCTAACATGTTCGAAATAAAAGACAATAACTGAAAAAAGTCAGCAACTGTTCACAAGTTTACACAATTGCACATAATCTTTAGTTTGTTCTTTACTTGTATTGCTGCACAAGTGCAATAACTTAAAGTGAGACATAAGATCTGTTCGTTTTCGCTGCACTACTGAACCGGTGCAATAAGTTAAAGTGAGATTAATACAGATTTTCTCACTCTAATTTATTGCGCTAATTCAGCAATGCAGCGAAAACGAACAGGCTTATATTTTTCTTACTATCGCTTATTGCAGTTTAGCAGCTAAAAAGAACAGGCCACTTGTCACTTACAAACCTGTAAACAGTTGCTAGAATTCTTCAATTTCCTTACCCTCTTTTAAAAAATAATTATATGTTTAAACCATTTTACGAAAGCAAGTATACAGTTAAAATTATTACATTATCTTCCACACATCCAATAATATTTGTAAATGTACTACAACTTGCTAGAACAGAAAAAATTATTTTACAAATTAATAATGGATACCCAGCAAATACAATATTACATGTAACGTGCATGTTAATTGTAATTTCCTACTCAACAATATTACTGTTATATAACAGTTATATTGTTGAATAGGAAATTATAATAAACATGCACGTTACATGTAATATTGTGTTTGCTGGGTACTTTCATGACACAAGCATTATTCTGTTCTTGCCTCACATCAGTGAGTGACAAAGATAGCATGATGCTTGATCGATTTATGGAACGCTACATGGAAAGCACTCATTATTTACTTAATATTTTTAAATTCATTATATTTACGTTCACTAGTTGCTTGTGGTAACATATATTGTTCTTTGGCTTTTGCCAACAACAACGTTGCAAAATTCATATCTATAAAAGTAAAAATAATATTAATATTTATAAAAATGTTGACAATATAAATTGTATACTTACTTCTTCGTGCTTTTTCTGCATCTCCGCTACTTAATATTATTTTACATTCTTTGTTATCTTCCGCGATCGATCAGACACACTTCTTCCATAGGTGCCGTCATTTTTCTACTGCGAATGCCTTACCTCGCGAACCGCAGTAACGAAAGCAGGAAGTGACGACAAAATCTATTACGTCATATGGACACGAAAATGCTTTGAAAGTTTACTGTCGCGAATATCGGAACGGCATTCGCAGTGCTGCCAGTACTGGCAGTGAATATCGGAACGCAGCCATTATATTCTTATGGAGGATTCAGGCCTGATCTACAATACGTGTCGTAAGTTGTAAGCCGTAAGAATTGGCGAATCACAGTCGATTATAACAAAAATAATCAACTATAATTGGTCAGTTCTTACGGCTTATAGCTTACAACACCTATTGTAGACCAGGCCTCACACTGCGTCCGATGTCCGACGTACGACATCCGACATCCAATAGGAGAACAGCTTTTCAATGGAGAATTGAATTCTCCATAAAGCTAAGACTCCATGCATGCGGTGAGCTGCGGCAAACGGCTGCGGTGACCAATCAGGAGACAGACGCATGCCGGAGCTTGCCGCAACCGGACTTGTGCCTCCCTCCTGATTGGTCATCGCAGCATTTGCCGCAGCTCACCGCATGCATGGAGTCTTAGCTTTAGCTTTAGTCGGATATCGGACGCAGTGTGAATCCTCCATTACATCATGGTTACAAGGAAATCTTCGCTTTGGCCATTCTCAGACTTTTTCCTGATTTCAATTTATATGTGTATAAATTTCTTTCGCGAAATAAATATTGAAAAGAGACAATTTGTCTTCTAAGTTTATGGTATAGAATGATAAAATGGCACATTTAGGAGAACAAATCTTACAGGTTATATAATTAAGTCGATTCTTTCATGTTATGATTATAAATTATATTTAGTATGAATTTTGTAATTCTTTAATGAAAAAATATTTTAATTACAGACACATAAGAATAATACTGAGAATGAGGGTTTAACTATTCAGATTCAAAATAGCTCAGTATTTCTTATAGCCTTATCATTTGCATGTGAGGCATTGATATCATGTACTAAACAACTGAATTCAATAGATGAAGAATGTGGCGATGGAAATTATGGTAACATACTTGCACAGAGTGCTAATGCCATAAAAATAGAGATGAAGGTTGTACATTGAACAAGCTAAGTTCAGATTTAGTAGTTACAAATAATGTGTTATACTATATATTATAGGAAAACAGAATTTCAACAAGGCCTTCTATAGCTTTTATACAAATAAGTAGAATTATTGAAAAAGTATCAGGTGGTTTAGAAGGTGGAATATACTCATTATTTTTCGATGCTGCTGCCAAAGTAAGATTGTCTACAATATAATCACTTTCTTTTCTTAAATTTGGAGAAAATTATCTGAAGAAGTATTTCAGAGCTTTCAAAAGTTTCAAAATGACAAACAATTAACAGCTGATATATGGTTAGTTGCTTTGTCATCTGCAAACCAAGTAATATCGGAAATCAGTGGAATATCAATACGTGACCGCTCTATGCTGGATGCTTTAATATCTGCTGAACTTAAATTAAAAGATTCATTAAATCTTGATTTAAATCCTATCAATGCATTTGGAAAAGCTGTTGAAGCAGCTGAGACTTCTGCTATGCAAACCTTACACATGCCAGAACATCGTTTTGGTTTTACAAATCATAAGGTATTATTCATGAATAATATTCTATATATTTATTTAGTTATTCAATGATGCAATTATATAATTTATATATCATACAGACATTCAAATATCCAGATTCTGGAGCACATGCTGTAAGTATCTGGATGAGAGCTGCTTATGAAGGTGTCAAATTGAAATTCAATTGTCAATATGATATGTAAAACAGAAATAAAATATCTTTTGTTACATTTTATTAATATATTACGCATGTTCCAATCAAATTATTCAGAATTGTTTATTATACCTGACTATGGGCTATAGGTTATCTCAATGTATGTCGAGCACCTAGTGATCAGCAACCCGATATACAATAGTGTAAATTTAGTTTTGTTTCGTATTTGATAAAAGTATATATATAAATGTGTATATATATATATATATATATATATATATATATATATATATATATATATACACTACACATGCGTGTACATTTGCTACGTAAGCCAATGTCGAGATTAGCTATCATAATGTCACGTGTCTTGGTCTCTCGACTTCATTTTTGTTTTATCACGTGAAAAGGATGAAAAAAACCAACTTCGCCATCAATTTTTATTAAACAAGTAAACAGGTAAAATGCTGTCGATTATCATATAAAAAATATATTGGTAGAGGTTATGTTATAAACTGTATGCTTTTTAATTCAGTGCATAACAAATTTAAATCGTATTAAATTATGTTTGTATGAATCATGTGTTACATTTCGAGCACTTTAAGTTAACAATTTTTAGAAAAATAATATAATATTTAAATTTTGTATATAGATATTTTTAAGTATATAACACATTGTGTAACATTATTATAATATATAATTTTGTTTATTATTATACATATATTATGTGCAGGATGATTAAACATATATTTATAATATAATTTTAGGCTATCAGCTTAATATTGTGAGATCATGTAAGGAATCTTGCAATATTGAGTCCCCTAAATTAAATTAAAAAGTATTCAAAGATCAGTATTCAAGAACAATGAATGCTGCAATTGCATTGTGTACCTTTTGTGAAATACATGGACCCAAAGTGATATTTACTACACAAACATACCGCAGTTATGATATACAGCATATAGAGAAATTAAAATTTTATGGACCCAAAGAAGCATTGAGGCAATATCATGTATCTTTGGAAGATGAGCAAGATGAGTGTGAAGGTTGTCAAAGCATTGGGAATATTAAATATTTAAGTAATGATCATGATGCAAGGACATCTTTCTTATCTGCTCAACAATCATTAATGCAAGACATTGGGAACTTATTAAAACATGCATGTATTAGGTATAATTATTGTATTTTATTCTTTTGTGAACTTTAGAAATCTTAAATTTTTGGAATCAATTGAATTACTAATTAGATATTAAAATGATTGAATGTTAAATATATTTTATGAAATAATTTCTTACAATTTCCTTATTAATAATTTTTATTTATAAGGAGTTTAAGCTGCGAGGTACATCCTGGTAAGGAAGGTGTTTGCTACTTTGGAGATGAATACAGGGGGCATGTTTTAAGTCATACTTTTACATTGAAAGATGCCCAGGTGAATTATGCAACGAAAAAGCATGTTTGGTAGTTATTACAACAAATTTTTCAAATCATGCCCTACTTACAAACTTACTATTGTCAGAACTTAAAAATTCTATCATATTTTGATGCAATATCTCTTGTGTTGAATAGAGTGATATTTATTTTTTAACAGGCGAGAGGTTTCAGGAGATGGTGTAGTTTTATTGTCTTCATGAGAGACAAGCAATTCTTGTTGAATATGTGGCCATTTTTAATAGATAATTTAAAGGAGGTAATCAAGGAGTTACAAGATTTTGCAGAAAAGAGATATAATGCAGAAGAAGCAGAATGTCCACAACGGGCAATGAGATTGACCACAGCAAACAATGGAGCGAGTTGTCACAGTGCTTCCATTAAACAATCCAGAACACTTACTGATATAACAAATGAGAAACATGTATTTATAAGGTATAACTCTCTTATGTTAACATTATATTATATATAAATCACACCAGAATATAATTATTCATTATAAATTAGAGAAATATACATATACATACAGGGTGCCCCATTTAAAATCCCCTAAATATCTCGAAAAATGTGGAAAAATGTTTCAGACAAAAGTTGTATAGTTTTAAGGGAGACATAAAACAATTATATCAATTTGTTTACAGATGGAACCATTTTCGAGATATTCATTAATCATTACTTTTCTTAAATGGAAACCCCAATTTCTTATTACACCATCTTTTTCTACCAATTAATTTGAATAATTTTTGTCTGAAACATTTTTTTATTTACTTAGTATTTTATGAAATATTTAAGAAAAATTTGGTAACTTTTTCAATATTTATCTTACGATATCTCGCAAACTATTTGTCGGAAGAAAAAATAGTATTAGACTTTTTTATTCTATTTGATCTCAAGAATATATTGTTACAATAGTGCCCTAACTTTTGTTAACTTATTGACTTGGAAATTTTAAAATCATCAAATTAACAAAAATCAGGATGCTATTGTAACAATATATTCTTGAGACTAGAGTAAAAAAGTCTAGTACTTCTATTTAAACCTAGTACTATTTTTTCTTTCGACAATAAGTTAGCGAGATATCGTAAATTAAATATTGAAAAAGTTACCAAATTTTCCTTAAATATTAAAAAAAATATTAGGCAAATAAAAAAATTTTTCAGATAAAAGTTGTTAAAATTAATTGATAGAAAAAGATGATATAATAAAAAATTGGGATTTTCATTTAAGAAAAGTAACGATCAGTGAATATCTCGAGAGTGGCGTTATCTATGAACAAACTGATATAGTTGTTTTATGTCTCCTTTAAAACCATGCAACTTTTGTCTGAAATATTTTTTTGTACCTTCCATGTTTTTCGAGATATTTACTTGGGGGATTTTAAATGGGACACCCTGTATATGTATGTGTTTTTATAAATTATAATAAATAATCATTCCGGTATAATTTTTATACGCATGCGCGCGCGTATGTGTTTGTTTATATATATATGTATATATAATGATTTTATCCCCGTGCATATATACAATATGTGTTTTAGAATTCATATGTGGTTAGTATGGATACTCAGTTCTGGCGCAAGACATTTCGTGGAAGTTTTCCCGATGAGCTTGTTAGATGACGAAATTAAATACAGTTTCGAAAATCAAATCGGTTAGAATATTATAGTACTTTTTTATATATATTAATGATTAATGTTAAAATGTATCTTTTTGATGTATCTATATCATATTAAAAATACAAATATTGTGAATGATTTGTAGAAACTGAAGGAGGCTTCACTTTAGTGAATGCAAAACTGCCGATAAATTTAAACTTATATTCGGACGAGTCGGAATTCTCGTCGGAGTTCTCCGAGATTACAGAGAAATCTATTGCCGTGATTTTAAGAGATCTTAAACGAGTACTTGGGAAAGATCAGTTTAGACAGCTGCTATATTCCTGTCTAACTAGTGTTCAAATTCTAGTGAGAGGTCCAAAGATTCAGCGATTGGAATCCTTGTATGGACTTAGCAGGCTTGTACCAAGAGCGTGTCGGAGAGTGAAAACGCAAACATCTGAATATATGAATCCTGATGCTTGCAACTTTATTGGTAATACATCGCTCATCGTTAATTAATTTCTTTAAATATGTTTTAGTAGAAATATCCATTATTCTTTAAGAAAATTTGGATTATATAAAATGTATTTAATTAATTTCGTTGAAATTTGTAGGAGTGGATACCTCAGTAGCGGTGCCTTTGCCCTGTGCAAATGTATGCAGATTAGATATAATACTCAATGAGCATCAGGTTGATAATACAAATTCCCATATAGTCAAGTGGACGGGTGTGTTACCAGCAAAACTTCCAACATTATTGACAAAGATCGAAAAATCACTCGACAACGAGAAACTTGGAAACTCTGTTCTCAGGGCACATTTTGCGACTCTTCAAGAGGAATGGGCTAAGTATGGATTTATTTGTCATTACATAGAATATTCCATCTTTATCAAATTAATTCTTAACATCAAATTTGTTGATTGTGTCATCTAAATGTCTAAATACAGGTTATCAGAACAATTTTTCCATAACTCGTAGGAGTCTAGAATGGATTGAAGCAAATAAAAAAATTCCATACCGTTTTGCGATGTTTGCAATAACTATCGAGTTATTAATTATAAAAAGTGAATGAATGAGCGCGCGCCAATATAGTAGAAGATAAGTGCTTTGAGTCCTTCGAGCTATAACGCAGCTCAATCGTTCTAATTGTTGCTAGCGCGCGGCGAAAAAGGACAACTGTTTATACTCACATCGCCACATCCTACATCTCATTGTACCGTATCCAAGTTCACATCGATATAACCGTTAAATATTCGAGATTATAATTACAAAATCATATTTTATGAGATAGTAAAAATAACTTCTATTGAAATTTGAAACTTTAAAAAGTTCTGTAATAAAAAAAAAAGAATGAAAAAACGATAGAAGTTGATGAGATTTACAGATATCTCATTGTTTGTTATCGTAATCTATTGTTTCGTTGCATAGAATGCAAAACAAATGATATCATTTTTTATTATATTGTATCGTTCCTTGTTAAGAGAATATTTAATCGTTGGAGTATGATAGAATCCTTTTGAAAAAAAAATTCGTTTTGTTCTATTTTACATGGAGAAAAAGATTTGGTCAAGTGAATTAATTTTCTGGTGAAATGTAAACGATTTAGCAATTCCGGTTGAAGTTATCAGAACTTAATCTATATTAGATTTCTAATTAAATTAATTTGATATATTTAATTAAAACTTCTGAATTGAACAACGATGTAAATACAAACAGCAATACATTATCCTTTTTCTTGCCGCACACCGGCAATAGTTGTTAAAATGACTGAACCGTGCCATGGTTCAAGTGGCTCAAAGCACTTCTCCTCTACCATATTAGTGCGCGCACATTCACCCGCTTTTTACAATTAATAACTCGATAATGATTGCGATTATCGCAAAATAGTATGGAAATTTTCTTGTTCGCCTTAAAGATAATATATCTCAATAAGCAGTGGCACAATTATTCTGAGATATATTGTATATAGAATAATTCACTTCTAAGATTTTACAAGCAGAATAACTGTGGAATGTACCAATGATTAATAAAAAGTATTGTGAATCTTTGTATTAATATATTTCTATTATCGTTCCAGCATTGCAAAAGTTGTTCACGCGATGCATGGACGAGGTCATCGTGGCGATCTCTCTGGTCTCATGCTTAGTCTGGGTGCAGGACCTCAAGACAAAAAATTATTGGATGCTTGGTCTATGGGATTACCATCTAACCCAGCATAGTTCGCACACATTAATTCGTTCTATTGTATATGTGTAGTGTATCATTGGGTAACATAATATTTATTACAAATCACATATGTTTTTGTTTAGGTTTATTTATCTTTGTCCAAGGAATATTTGTGTGTTCAAGGTTGTGTCCTTTTAATTTATGTAATTTAGTTAAAAAATAAAGGCAAGATATTTTAGCAAACAGGCTTTTTATATAAACATTAATAGTAAATAATCATTTCACAGTATATCTTGTTTCATTACTAGAAATATCCTCCTAATAAGAATCTGGACATAAGAGCAATTTTGTTAAAATCTTATGAGAGAGAGAGAAAGAAATATATACAATTGTTACTTCTCTCTATATTTCCTTTTTTTCTTTGATGCACTCATGCATACACTACGGACAGTTTATGATATTTTGAACAGAAAAAGAAATTAGAAATGAAGAATTGTAGCAAAATGTGTGAAATATTGTGGAGATAGATGACTGTGTAACACTGTTTCACAATTATACAATTTACACAACTAGAACACTACAAGCGCGCGTCATTTTATTCATATTAAAGTTAATTAAGTTAAAGTTTATTCATATTAAAGTTTAGAATAAATATTATAAATCAAAAATAATCCATGGAGTGTAATATAAGTTCGATAATATCCGACTCCAACATACGATGTATTAAGCGCATACAGTTTGAAATTCCATGATACATATTTTCTGCATATATTTTCTCTCTCTTTCTCTCTCTCTGTCTTCCTCTCTCTCCCACTGTCTCTTTCACACATTCTCTCACATTCCCTCTCATACTATCATACACACTCATCTCTCCCTCACACTCTCCTCTTTCTCATACTCTGCTCTCCTTTACATTCTCTCTCTCATTCACTGACTCTCACATACTCTCTCTCTCACACACTCTCTCTCTCACACACTATCTCTCTCTCTCAATCTCTCCCTCACACTATCCTCTCTCTTACATTTTCTCTCTCTCTCTCACACACATTCTCTCTCTCTCATTATATTTATTACTATTATCCGAGAAAGAAAAAAATAATGTTATAGCTTATTATTTTATGTAACTTTTATGGTTACTTTTGATAGCTTTTGGTGTCCCTTTTATTTTGTAATTTTACTTTCAGTTTATTAATGATTCATAATTGAATATACATTTTACATACATACATGATTACTAACAATATATGAACGATATATAAATTTGATTTAATATATAACGGGCCCAGGTTTATAGGGATAGGATACTGAAAAAACGTTTACACAGTAAGGGTTAATAAAATTTACTTTGTACGAAGAAGTTTTTTATTTATCCTTTTGTGGTGTTTTATTGCCCTTTAAGATTCTTATTAATGTTAATCGTCCTTCTAATTTCTTTATATTATTCTTTATTGTCCACATTATTTAAAATTAAATATGGTGAATCACCTGTAACAATAAAGGAATTTTGGTATATAAAGTACCAATATATAATCAAGAAATCATTAATACAACGTTGCTATAATGATATTTTATAACATGTAACGTTTTCAAATATGTATAATAATTCTTAATATTATACAGTGTTTGATAGCTAATCATGCAGACGAAAGATGGAGATAGATTGGGTGTAGTCCGAGAAGAAAAGTCATGTACCATAATGTCAAATTGGCAATAGTTACCGAGTTATTAATTAAAACATGTGAGCCAACGAGCGCGTAGAGAGCGGAGGGCGGCCGCAGTAAGCACGTAGACATTTGATACAGGCGGAGTCAGCGAGTGACGGTAGGCGAGCGCGCGCGGCGAGGGACAACGTAAGCGACAAGAGGCGAACGCGCGCGACGAGGAACGAGCGAGAGCTTTTTCTTTATAGCTTTTTCCTTATAGCTCGCTTGCTCCTCGTCGTTCGCGCTCGCTCGCTCTTCATCGCGTTCGCTCGCCTCTTGTCGCTTGCGCTCGTTCGCTCCTCGTCGTTCGCGCTCGCTCGCTCCTCGTCGCACGCGTTCGCCTCTTGTTGTTTACGTTGCCTCTCGCCGCGCGCGCTCGCCTATCGTCACTCGCTGACTCCGCCTGTATCAAATGTCTACGTGCTTACTGCGGCCGCCCTCCGCTCTCTACGCGCTCGTTGGCTCACATGTTTTAATTAATAACTCGATAACTATTGGCAATTTGACATTATGGTACATGACTTTTCTTCTCGACTACACCCAATCTATCTCCAACTTTCGTCTGCATGATCAGCTATCAAACACCCTGTATACAACGTCATTGCGAACAATATTTGGCTCAAATGTTAAAAATAATATTTTTAAACTGTAATTTTAATATTTAGAAATATTATATTACTAAGTAACAGTTTAAAAACATTTATAAAATATTATGAAATATCATATCAAAATGTTTATAAAATTCACAAAATCAATATTTCAGAAGATTATTCCCAGACAGCACATGATCTCATAGGCACGTCCTATGCAGTGCTGAGGGATCCAAAGAATTTCTCACGCTTACAGCGCATGCCTGAAGTGACGTAGAGCTACATATGTCAAAAACCACTGACGGTTTAAAACGCATGACAGAGGAGGCATGGAGGGGCCCGCGCAAAATATCTATGTTTTCCGTAGTTATTTTCTCGCATTTCTTCCGCGAGTGCGTGGTTTAGGGTTAGGTTACCCAGTAAACATTAAATATGTTATATTTATGTTATGTTACATTAACATTATATTTTCTTAATATCATTAATTAATGTAATGTAAGTGTTACTTAGTGTTTATATGTAGTGTATAAGAATAGTGATAGTGTTCATTTTTTGTTAAATAAAATATTAAGTGCTGTGAAAATGGATGACCAACCTTCAACTAGTGGCATCGAGAAGAGGAAAGTTAGAGCACAAAAATTTAGAACAGCGTTATGTGTGAACATTTTTAAAGATTGGTTGACATGGCATCAGGTACGTTCAATAACAGTGCAAGTGTGTGATATTAAACATTTATATATTATTAATGATAGTATTAAGTATTGTGTTCAACATTAACATAAGTATTCTTTTTAACGTTTATCTGTTTTGTACAATTTTATTGTAAGAATATTAGTAAGGTTTTTCCGCAGTTTCCCTTGCTATTACAACAAATGTTGGTATTCATATATTATTTTTCTGCAGTTATTAAAAAATAAAATTATATTTTATTAGTTTATTATTAATTATGAACAATATTCTGTTTCTTTCACAGACTTTTCTATTCTTCCTACAATTCCTTCATATTTTCTTTCAAACGAGGGATCTTACGCCCGTATTAGACTATAGATTGAAAATTACAGCTGAATCAACTTAAATAACCAAGATTTAGATTACCTAATTTATGCGATTGCAATTTTCAATCCATAGTATCTTACAGGCGATAAAATACTTTTAAATTAATACGGTACTGAGGCTTCCACAGCGTTTGCTCAATGCGCACGCCCGGAAATTCTCTGGATCTCCCAGTACTGGTCCTATGGACGTCCTGAGGATGAAGAAACGTCCCCAGGACGTCCTTAAGACGTACTCTGGACGTTCTCTGAACATCTGTGCTATTAGGGTTTTAATATTTTTTGCTTACTAGGAATAGAATATATAAACATAAAACTTTCTTTTCTTATTATGAATGTAAATAGAAATATTACCTTTATTTTTTATATTTCCAATCAATTGGACTTTATCCCCTTTATTAATATTTAATACATTGTAGTCTTCGTCATTAAATTGCACAATGTGTACTTCTAATTTAAAAATGCCGTCTGTTACAGAACCGCATCCAATTTTACATTTCAAAAAATTATTGTAGGTTTCTGTGAAATTTGTTTTAATATATGCTTTTAAACCTACAAATATATTTGATTTATACAGGGTGGTTGATTATAAGTTGCCAACCCGAAATGTGAAGGTAGATTGGGTTAAGATAAACATAAAAGTCCCATACCGTTTTGCGAGATTCGCAATAATTATCGAGTTATTAATGACAGAAATCTGAGGAATGGGAGCGCGCCGACATAGATAATTGGAGAAGCGTTGCAGCTACTCAGGCCATAGCGCGGCCCAGTTGATCGAGAAACTGATGCCGGTGAGGGGAAAGACAATGCGCTGCTATTCGTTGTTTTATCTCGCCGGACTTACGTCTCGCCGTCTCGCCGCCAACAGTTGCTTGGTCGAGTGGGCCGCGCTATGGCCTGAGTAGCTGCAACGCTTCTCCAATCATCTATGTCGGCGCGCTCCCATTCTTCAGATTTCTGTCATTAATAATTCGATAATTATTGCGAATCTCGCAAAACGGTATGGGACTTTTATGTTTATCTTAACCCAATCTACCTTCACATTTCGGGTTGGCAACTTATAATCAACCACCTTGTATACAGGGTGTTTGATACCTGATCATGCAGATGAAAGTTGGAGATAGATTGGGTGTAGTCCGAGAAGAAAAGTCATGTACCATAATGTCAAATTGCCAATAGTTATCGAGTTATTAATTAAAACATGTGAGCCAACGAGCGCGTAGAGAGCGGAGGGCGGCCGCAGTAAGCACGTAGACATTTGATACAGGCGGAGTCAGCGAGTGACGATAGGCGAGCGCGCGCGGCGAGAAGCAACGTAAACGACAAGAGGCGAGCGCGCGCGACGAGGAGCGAACGAGCGCGAACGACAAGGAGCGAGCGAGCGCAAGCGACAAGAGGCGAGCGAACGCGACGAAGAGCGAGCGAGCGCGAACGATGAGGAGCGAGCGAGCTATAAGGAAAAAGCTATAAAGAAAAAGCTCGCTCGCTCCTCGTCGCGCGCGATCGCCTCTTGTCGCCTACGTTGCCCCTCGCCGCGCGCGCTTGACTATCGTCACTCGCTGACTCCGCCTGTATCAAATGTCTACGTGCTTACTGCGGCCGCCATCCGCTCTCTACGCGCTCGTTGGCTCACATGTTTTAATTAATAACTCGGTAACTGCCAATTTGACATTATGGTACATGACTTTTCTTCTCGGCTACACTCAATCTATCTCCAACTTTTGTCTGCATGATCAGCTATCAAACACCCTGTATAACGAGGTTCGCAGTCTAGTATAATATAGATATCTGTGGCCATGGCCGCTCAGGCTGCGTTCCGATATTTACTGCCAGCACTGACAATTTATAATATACGTGACATAAACTATGTATTTTCAGTACTGGCAGTGAATTTCGGAACGCAGCCTAAATCAGCACTTAGGCCCAGTTCCACAACTTTCTTTAAACTCCGTTTAAAGCAAGTTGTGGAACTGGGCCTTAGGCTCCGTCCATGTATTCTATAGTTAATGCCACAGATGTCTATACTATACTAGATTGCTAACTTCGATCTTTGACCTATACAAGAGCTGTGTCCCGCCTATTTTCCGGTTCGGCCATGAAGAGCGCCAAAACATGGCGGCGGTGTGTGTTTGTAGTGCGTACGTGAACATCCGATGCATATGTAGTAGTGCTGTACTGTAAGTATGTGATACCTGATGTGTCTACACTGATGTGTCGTATCTACTGCTATTTATATTAATAAAACTGCAAATATATAAACGAGATAATGCCAAGTACATGTTGCATTGTTAATTGCAATAATACGAATAAAAAAGGATATCACTTATTTAAGTAAGTAGAATACATTTATATATAATAAATGTTCGAGGTTTGTAATATGTGAGGGTTATCTTGCAATTAAACATTGTTAATATTATTAATATTATGTTAATATTATTAATATTATTAATATTAGAATGTATTCACTTACAAAAACAACGAAAGATAGAAGTCCTGCAAGTAACAGACACAAATTTACAAAATTAATATTATTTAATAACACATAAGTTGCATTTTATTCTTTATATGTATGTAAATATATTAATACAAATACTTTGACATATTTTGAACTGTATATATTCAATTTAATTTTAACTTTTACCAAACACTTAGATTAGCAACACCTTATTAATACACACATCTTTAAATGATATTCTTTCTTGTTCGTATTTTTGAAATTTATAATACTTATTCGGCATTATCTCGTTTGTAGATTTGCAGTTTTACTAATATAAATAGTAGTAGACACATCAGGTGTCACATACGCACTACCACGCACTACTACATACGCATTGGGTATTCACATACACACTACAAAACACACCGCCGCCATAGCTTGGCGGTCTTCATGGCCGAACTGGAAAATGGGCGGGATACAGCTCTTTTGAGAAGTTAGCAATCTAGTATAGTATAGACATCTGTGGTCAATGCCCATGACTCCCCTCCTTCTCTCTGCTTGAAGCAAGTGTCACATAAAAAAAAATATAAGCAGTAAGCAAATCAACTAATCATAGGTGAGAACGCGCAGTTATCATTTATGTTTTGCCTATGATTGGTAGATTTGCTTACTATTTATGTTTTTTATGTGCTGTTCGATTGACTGTCATGTAAGAGCACCTTTACATAATGAGTGCGATCCACTAGATGCTGCAAATACTTTGAAGCGCCTAAGGGTAAGCCGTGATTGGTCCATAGGGCACTTCGAAGCGTTTGCAGCGTGTAATGGATCGTGCCCAATGTAATTTTATTAAGCACTTTGCATTCTCTACTACATATTTTTAGCTCATTCTCCTTCCTTATATTCTTTATTCAATGTTTGAGACGTAACCTTTTGGTTTATATATTCTTCAGAGATACCTATCTTATTACAGTGATAACCAGACAGCAGAAGTGGTGGATGACGAAACAAGTGTTCAGAAATACGCATTTTAATCATGAATACTGTTACTTGTCTTGCACCGATTAATATTGCAGTTATAAAATATTGTATGTGCAATTGATTTATTTGCATTACAATTTGATGATATTGATGATTTTATTTTAATTAATTTAACTGTTAAATTAATATACTGTTAATAAGTTCTTGTAAAAATTTATTATTTTATGTAATGATATATATGTAATTGCGTTTTAAAATTTTGATTAAAATATATTTAAAAATATAGCAAGCATGCATAAAATCATAAAAATCTATTATCTCTGATAAATTTTCACTAAAGAAATATTGTATATATGTTTTTTTTTATTAATATATCTAAATAATATCTAAAGTTGTAATATGCCCAGACAGCACTGGACATCCAGTGGATGTACGTTTCACGTCCAATTTATGTCCGTATGTCTGATTTACGTTCGTGGACATAAATTGGACGTAACAAGGATGTCCTTATTGGACATCGGATCTGTAGGATGTCCGATGTACGTCCATCGGACGTCCTATGTCCAAAGTTGTGACAAACGTACGTCCTATGGATGTCTTTTGTAAAAAAAATTGACATAACGGACGTCCAATGGACATCCGTGTGCTATCTGAGTGTATGTATATTATTTTATTCCATAATTTATTTACATAGTAAATTTAAAATATATTGTACAAGTTTATTATTATAGATTTTATCATATAGATTAAATTTATGTTTTCTAATATTTCCAGTGTGCTTGTCCATACAAGGTGTTTAAAAAAAGATATTTAGGATCTTTAAAACAGATAGTGCTCTGCAAAATGGAAAAAGAAGGTTCTGATAAAAATGAGTCGAAAAATTAATATTGTCAGAATTACAAACAATTATTTATTTTAATTAATACAAGTGACTACTTGCTTCTGGTACTTATTAAATTTATAAGAATTTTCTACATGTCCTTCCATTTCTACATATGCTTCATATCTTCATATCATAGAATTGTGAACTTTCAGAAATTCCTAAATTTGTTCTACTTGACAGGCATTTTATATTTTCTAATATAATTCATTTATATCATCTAATGATTAAGAATACACCATACTTTTAAGAAATCTGCATAAGAAAGCCCAGGTTATCTCCATGAAAATATAAATAAAAGAAAGTCAAGAGGATTTATATATAAATTAGAAAAAGAAGAGAGTCACGACACTGGTCCATTCCATCTAATCCATCTTCCGCCAAAGGACTTATTTAAATGTTGTTATTTAAATATTGTTAAATGCTGAGGATAAAATAAATTAGAGTAAAATGAGTTTGGAATTTTATGGAATGAAGATGTGAAGAATGTGTAGAAATAAGAAAAAGACACATAGAAAAAAAATCTAAATTTGTAAGCATTAGAAACCAGTAGGTTGCTTGTTTTAATTAAAATAAATAATTGTTCATAACTTAGACAATATTAACTTTCACTCATGTTTATTAGGACTTTTTTCTTTTATTTTATGAATATTATCTGCCTTTAAAGTTCTAAACCCTTTTTTTTAAACATTTTATATTATTTGAATATCAATAGTTACTACTTAAGAATTGATTATAAAGTGATAATATACAAATATTTCTTCTATAACTGCCTTTTATCCTCATATAATTTTTCAATAAACTAATCTATTAAATGTGGTTAATTTTAGGGGGGAAAAGAGATGAATCCTTAATTTTACCAGTCAATGATTCTATTAGTGCTACCTTAGATACAGAACAGGTAAATATTTGTAAATTTTTAACAGACTTGAATATATATATTTTGATAAAATAAATTATTATTATGACATTATCTTATTTTATTAACAGCTGCATGCGAAAACTACGGTTATGATTAGTCAGCACTTTAAAGAAGATTGTATTTGGCTGAACGAAAGGTATATTAATAAAATATCATTTATATATTTACCTAGATATAATTACATACATAATTACATAATAAACTGGCTTATGTTTTAGAAAAGAAGATATAAAGAATCCAAGACTTCAAAACTGTTTAAATGAAAGTAAGTTAATACTTGATGAATAATTATAACCACTCAAAAACTTATTCTTTAAGACAGCTTTTGTATGTTATATTCTTTTTCCAAGTTAGGAGTCGTTCGCAGTTATCAGGTCATATGAATGATTGGAAGATTCATATCTGTTCAAAGAATAATTTCCCAACTGCGGCTGGTTTAGCTTCCAGTGCTGCAGGATATGCATGCTTAACAGCAGCACTAACTAAGCTTTATAAAGTAGAGGTATAATCATATATACATGTGTCTGTGTGTGTGTGCACACATGTTTACATATATGTATGATTAAACATTAATATGTGTTTTGAAGTTATATAAATTTTATTACTAAAGTGTTCTTACAGGGTGACATTAGTCTCATAGCACGTTCTGGCTCTGGCTCAGCATGTCGCAGTATTATGGGTGGTTTTGTGAGATGGCATATGGGAATGGATAAATATGGCATGGACAGTTTAGCAAAACAAATTGTGCCTGCCTCTCATTGGCCAGAGATGAGGATTTTGTTGATAGTTGTAAGAAAATAGTAAATACATATGTATATGCAGATGCTAAAAACAATAAAAATTTTTACATTGATCAAATTTATAGGTAAATAGTGAACAGAAAAAAGTATCGAGCACAATTGGCATGAAAAGGAGCATGGAAACATCAGAGTTCATGCAGCACAGAATAGCAAATGTTCCAGAAAAGGCTGATAAAATGCAGTGTGCAATTATCCAAAAAAATTTTAAAACCTTTGCTGAGCTCACTATGAAGGATTCTAATCAGATGCATGCTGTATGTCAAGATACATATCCACCATGCGTTTACATGAATGATGTTTCTCATAGTATCGTAAATTTTATACATTCATACAATGATGCAATGAATGATATAAAGGTGTGTATAAAATATGAGAATTTTCATTTCATTTTACATGTAGTTTCCTGTGTTATATTGCTATATAAATTATAGTACATCACTTTCATAGTATATAATATTACTTGGATTTATTTACAAATGTAAAATGAATTGTTAGGTTGCATACACTTATGATGCAGGGCCTAATGCTACGTTATACTTAATGGAGAAAGATGTGCCTGGAATAATAGGTGTCTTGGACTATTTCTTTCCTCCTCCTGAAAACATTGCAATTGAATATAAAAGAGGATTACCTATCAAAGGGATTGAGCCTTCGCAAGTATGTACTTTTTGTATATAAAATTTAAGTTCTATTTTAATACATATTGTAATTATTTTATAATAGGATCTGTTGAAGAAATTGAAATTTTGGAAACATTCACCAGGACAATTTCAATATATCATATATACTAAAGTAGGAGATGGGCCTAAATATTTGTATGATCCTCAGGATCACTTGTTAAATGGTCAAGGAAATCCTATTAAATGCCTTTGACTAAATTTTTTGATATATAATTTTATCTGCTGTACAAATATCTTTTTTAAAATGCAGAAATGAATAATTTATACCTTTAGTAGCTTTGATATATCCTTTACCATACAATGTAAAAAACCACTTCACGATACAAATATGGGTTTTTCAGGTTTAATAATTTTTTTCATCTGTTTTGAGTGGTTCAAACAATCTGTAAAAATTCAAGAATATATTTTTAAGTTTCTAGAACATATGTGTATCTACTTTATTTTAGCACAGAGCTCGGCAAAGTTTACAACTTTCGACCGATTCTCGAGAGCTACGCCTTCTATCTCCCCTTACTGCGCGGCGTATCCAACAACTGACGGTCGTGAACCGCGACGAAAGTTGTACAGTCGTGGACAGAAGGGTTGTCAGATTTTTTATAGTGAGTTTCGGAACGCATTCTGTTTTGACGAGAATGGGTGCATTCAGTATTACAACCGTTCACTGAGTCTAGTGAGCTCTTGCATCTGATTGGTGTATATTTTTAAATCTGAAAGAATATACCAATCAAATGTAAAAGCTGATTGAGCGCTCAGTGAGCGGTTGTAGTACTGAATGCACCCATTGCCTGCATTCAGCAGACTTAACAGTTGGACAACATTACTAGATTTTCCACTGAATCTCGCTCCTGATTGGTAAATACTTCTGGGCCTATGAAGAATCTAAAAGAATGCTCCAATCACAGACAATAATCACTAAGCGCTCACCGATCACTTTGTTCTACTGAACGCGGCCAATGAGAGCTTCTGCTCTGACACGCCTGCGCAGTCATCGATTGAACAATAGAGAAATCATATATACGTGGTGTTAAATAAATCGTAATTTTAAGAAAATATGTTATTTAAGAAAATATATCAACCAGAGAGAAGCCTGAGAGCGAGCATGGCTGCATTTATAGCGTTATGGAAAAGTTGGCTGATTCGAAGCGCCAACTGGGTTCATTTTTCATAGACATGAACTACTAAGCCAATGTCCACGATTTGTTGGTACTATTCCGTGCTATGTCCATAATTATTTGGTTCTGTTCTGTGCTATGTTCACGAGCGAGCTAGATTAGTTAGATAAAAACGAAGAATCGGTCTTTGTCTCACCACCAGCGAATAGACAATCGCGACGAAACGAGCCAGCAGCGATGTTATCGTAAGGCAGACGTCGCCGTCTCCCCTTTCACCCCCTTGTTTTCCTTTCCACATTGTTTTATATTCATAATTCGGGAAGAAAATAATTTCGAGAGTTCGGACGATTTCTAGTAATGACGCGACAGAGATAACGCTCGGCCACATTAATTTGTCATGACTTTTATATTACTTATAATTACATAAACGCCCATATATGCAAATTATAGATAATTATATAATTATAGATAATTATAGAATATTGCGCGTATGTTTTAATATTGTACAATATGGTATATAATAACAACAACTTTATTTCTTGCAATAATATTTTTAAGATCTTCGTTGAGGTCGTGAATTAATTTTTTTCTTCATCAATCAGTTTTCTGCAAAAATTAAGATTTTTTAAATAAAATATAAAATGTTTCTCTTCTCTTCTCTCCGAAGAGTTAATTAAAAAATATGTACTCCACAGAGTCAACTAACAAATGTGTAGTCAGAAGAGTAAATTTAAAAGTGTACTCCGAAAAGTCAATTTAATAGCGTATTCCGAAGAGTCAATTTGAAAGCGTACTCTGAAAAATCAAATTAATATTGTAATCCGAAAAGTCAATTTATAATAGAATATTTACTTCGATGATTCAGCTAAAGAAAAAAACATTTATTTATTATTATATTCAAAGAATAATATTTAATTTATTATTTATACTTATCTTACTTATGTTTACCCTACATATGCTTCTTTGAATTAAAAATTTAATTTGTTGACTGATTCAGATTTAGATTTGTTAAAATATCTCTTATGCGCAACTCTTGAACAGGTAGGTAGTAAAATAATTTTCTTTCTTTACAAATTTTATAAACTTTTCACGAACATAAAAATTGAAAGGTTCTCAGAGAACAAATAACTTTTCTTGAACATTTAAACCAAAGGAAAATCTTTTCCCATTAATAAAGAATGAATAATTAATATCTTACACAAGAGGAATCTTCATCCTCGAAATCACCGCGCGATTTTGCTTTTAGAAAAGTATAATATTGATATAATAGTAACAAATGCTATCCAAAAACGGTGCAAATCTTAAACGTTTTTAAGAAATGCAGTTTGAAGTTTAGTCTTTTCTGTTAATGTCGTTATAGCAGAAGAATTACTAATTTGCTTCAGTAGCGCAGTGAATCAGGCTTTGTGATATGAGCGTAGAAGTTGTTCAAGTGTGTTATTTTTATTATCACAGGGAGAACTATGTAGAATGTATAATAATACGCAGACAAATTCTTTACATAATCATATTTATTTCTTTTAGCATGAATAAAAATGATCAATGCTAACATGATAAGTATTAGGTGCGCAACTAAGTTCTCGCTGTTTTTTTGATGAAAATGCAACTTTATTGTGAAAAAATGGTTACAAATGAATCATTCAAAATATTACCCATCGCTAGCGACAACTTTTTCCCATCTTTCTGGCAGAGCTCGAATACCATCAAGATAGAAGTGTTCGTCTTTTGAGGCTATCCACGAATTAAGCCATTTTGAGATGTCTTCATATGAGCGGAACTGCTGATTAGCCAGACCATGTGCCATCGAACGGAACAAGTAATAATCGGACGGCGCAAAATCTGGGGAATATGGCGGGTGGGGTAAGACTTCCCATTTGAGCGTTTCTAAGTAGGTTTTAACGGGTTTGGCAACGTGAGGTCGAGCGTTGTCATGCTGTAGAATCACTTTTTCGTGCCTCTGCTCGTATTGTGGCCGCTTTTCGCGCAGTGCTCGGCTCAATCGCATCAATTGAGTTCGATACCGTTCCCCAGTGATGGTTTCGTTCGGTTTCAACAGCTCATAATAAATAACACCGCCCTGGTCCCACCAAATACACAGCAAAACCTTCGCAGCGTGAATATTCGGCCGAGCCGACGACGAGAAGCATGACCGGGCAGTCCCCATGATTTTGTTCTCTTTGGGTTGCTGTAATGAATCCATTTTTCATCACCCGTAACGATGCGATGAAGAAAACCCTTCCTTTTTTGCCGCTAGAGCAGTTGTTCACAGGCGAAAAAACGACGCTCAACGTCTCTTGGCTTCAAATCATAAGGAACCCAAGTTCCTTGTTTTTGAATCATTCCCAACGCATGCAATCTCTTGGAAATGGCTTGGCGGGTAACTCCTAATGCTGAAGCAAGCTCTTTTTGCATTTGGCACGGATCCTCATTGAGCAATGCCTCCAATTCAGCGTCTTCGAAGGTTTTTGGCCTTCCTTCACGCGAATGGTCGTCAACATCGAAATCACCGTCTTTGAAGCGACGGAACCAATCACGGCACGTTGTTTCACTTAGAGCAGCATCTCCGTAAACTTTTTGGAGTTCTCGATGCGCTTCAGCCGCCGTTTTTTTCGAATGAAAGAAGAAAAGCAACACTTCCCGCAAATGACGATTATTTGGCACAAAATAAGACATTTTCACACAACCAAAAGTATATGACGCAACAACAAAATCACTAATGTGTCAAAGCGGTTTGTTTACCATATGTCTAAGCTTGGTTCATGACGTTTTGGTTATGTCACAATCGACCAGCACTTACTACTGGAGCCATCTCTTGAAAAACAGCGGGAACTTAGTTGCGCACCTAATATATATCGCAATTGTACGTGTACACACACACACACACACATACACACGTATACCAATGATGCTAAAACTGAACAATTCGTGAGAATTTTTTATTGATCGCAATTGTACGCAAAGACGAAAGAGAAGTACACGGGTCTCCGCGGGTATCTCGTCATATTAATTGTCTATGAGCTGATAAACAATTGATCTCCGGTATTTACAAGTTACGCTTGTCCGCAGCTTGTTCGGTTTTGACATCATTGGTATCAGTGATGCGAATTTGGTGACGGGCTTGCACGAGAATTCCCCCCCCCCTCCCCATGCACGCACCAGCCGGCTCGGTCTATCCGTGTGAGCCACGCGATCGGCAATCGTCCACGCGCCGAGCGAGCGCGAGAGAGAGAGAATATCATTCCCTCCTTGTCGCTCTCGTTCTCGCTCAGTGAGCGAGCCTAATTCTTTCTTGCCCATAATCTGAATCGCGGGCGCGGACTGTCTCTCTCTCCTTTCCTCTCTATGACAATACTAAAAAGTTTTGTCTACTCGGCGCACCGAAATTATTACAAATAATATTTTATTATTAATAATATTATTATTTGTAATATGTATTATTTGTAGTATTATTATTTGTAATTTTATTTGTAATTGTATAATAATGTTACAAATAATATAAATTTTTACAAATTTTATTTGTAAAAATTTATATCATTTATAATATTATTTGTAATAGTATTAATAATATTCGGCGCCAAGAAAATGAAATATATTTTATTAATTATTTTGCGGAGTCGGGCAGGTTCACAGGTTTGATTATTGAATTGTTTAATATTTTAAGAATAATTTTAAGTTATACAAGGATGTAGTATGAAATATAAAAGAATATATTGTAACAGAATCAAGAAGTACAAAATGAAACCTCTTTGCTTTTATTACAATATCCTGTAAGTTAATAAATATTTTTCATAGAATATTAAATAATTTCCAAAAACAATTACATCCGTGAAATTTTCTATCTGCGCGAAAAAAAATTCATAAAATATATTTGTTTCGTCGCTCTAAATGAGAAAACTCTCAAAACAATGTCATAGTTGTTCAGTGTACTACTCAATAAAAATATAATAATACTATGTTTGCATGTGTGAAGAATATTTGTTAACTTACAGGATATTGTAATAAAAGCAAGGAGGTTTTATTTTGTACTTCTAAGGCCAAGACTTATTAACGGCTTAAGACATATTCGAATTAATCTTGCCTTAATTGGTCGGATCAGTGATCGGTCTTGCCTTAACTTCCAAGCCTCATAACTCG